GCTTTTCGAGAGAGAGCCAGAGAGAGAGAGAGAGAGAGAGAGAGAGAGAGAGAGAGAGACCGATAGAGAGAGAGAGAGAGAGAGAGAGAGAGAGAGAGAGAGAGAGAGAGAGAGAGAGAGAGAGAGAGAGAGAGAGAGAGAGAGAGAGAGAGAGAGGCAGAGAGGCAGAGAGAGATGACGCCCTCTCACCACCCACCCACCTGAAGCCCTCGTCCCTCTCACCCTCCCTCGAGTGCCCGGCAGGTGTGCGAGGACTTCGTGCTGGCGGTGCCGCAGTCGCGCGGCGATTGCGGCACCCCCAAAACTCTCGCGCACGCGCACGCCGCTTCCGCGCCATGTCTGTGACATGTCCGCGACATGTCCCAAAGGCACTGCCGACCTGCCGCACGAGGCGCTGTTTGCTGCAAAGCACCAGGCGCCTCTTGCCGCTCGCCCGCCGCTCGCCACCTCCCGCCGCTCACCCCGCCCGCACCGCCCCCACCGCCCGCACCGCCCGCACCGCCCCCACCGCCCGCCCCCCGTGGTGCCTCCTCTGCGCCTCCGCAGGAGCTGCTGGTTAAGTTCCAGGACCCGGGGCAGGCGGACCAGCTGACGCAGATCATGGCAGAGCTGGAGAAGACCAAGTTGGTGCGAGACGCGCCCGAGACACGCCCGAGACGCGCCCGAGACACGCCCGAGACGCGCCCGAGACGCGCCCGAGATGTGTCCGAGATACACCCGAGATGTGTCCGAGATACACCCGAGATGTGTCCCCGCCCCTGCCCGCCCGCCTGCCCCGAGAGACTGCCCCTCCTCCGAAGGAGTCCGAAGGAGAGGGAGGGGGGTGGTGCGACGCCTCTGGGCCCCAACCCCGCACGCCGCCTCCCCGCGACAGCTCACTGCACCCGGGCCTGGCCCGCCGCCCTCGCCTCACCGACGCCTCCTGCCTTGCTGCGGCGGTGCGCAGGTGCTCCACGAGACCATCGAGGCGGCGCTGGAGAGAGGGTGTAAGATCGAGACGCTCATCAACAAGTCCAACGACCTGTCGGGCTCGTCGAAGATGTTCTTCAAGACGGCCAAGAAGCAGAACCAGTGCTGCACCTTCATGTAGCCCCAGAGGAGGAGGGCGGGGCGCGGCGGCGGCCCCATGCCCAGGGCCTGGACTAGCCGGGGCTGGCCGGGTGTCGGGACGACACGAGGAGGACGCCCTTACTTAGCAGTGGGTGGGGGCAAGGCGCAGAGGGTGCGCGCGCGGCGCGAGAGGTACGTGGCGAGACGAGAGAGAGTGTCTGGTGTGGGTGGAGGTCGCCACGCGTGTGCTTCATACTATGTGGGGAAAAGTCGGCATCGCCACAGTGCACAGATATGATGGAGATATTCGTATTTGGCAGCACAGCCACAGGGCGGGGCCTCTCCGCTCGAGCCAATACGAAAAAAAACACGCGCATTCCCCCCCGCGAGATAAAGCGCGATATATTCGTCGAAAGTGGTCGCAGTCACCTCACAATGGTCAATGCAGCGTCTGCACACAGAGACTTGCTGCAGCGGTTTGCAGGTGGAGCGTCCAGGGACACCAGACTGCGGAGGCCCAGCACCGAAGGACGTTGATTGAAGGAGCACCGGCGCCAGCAGCGACACCAGAGAGGCTGCAAACATGGCGCTGCCGCGGGACCCGGGACGTATACCCCAGCGCTCACGTCTACACCCGTGAACAGCCTCACGAGTTTGAACAGCGTCCCTTGACCATCCAGTGACCATCACGGGGGCGGGGGGAAATTGAAATATCGCTCCCAGCCGTCCCCGATCCGCCACCAAATCCCCATTGCTTGCATGGACACCAACGCGTCGGCTACGGCTCGCGCCAAGGGAGCCGTCGAGCGATTCGGCATTCTCCCCGGCTACCCTCAGTACATGCTCGGCACTTGCTTGTCCTCCATTCTATGCATCATGGCAGCGTGCATAAACACGATTGCACGATTCAGGAGGGCCGATCAGAAGTATGCCATTGCGGTCGGATCCATCGGGCTCGCTGGAGCGGTGCTGGGAGTGGTCCTCGATCGTGACTTCCAGGTCTCCAAGAAGGAGTCTAAAGTCGGTGAGATCTCTGCGCGCGAGCTTCTCGCGGGGTTCCTGGCGTTGTGGTTTGGCGTCGCAGTGATCGTGCTCACCTTCTCTTGGGGATTCGCCAATTTTAATTCATTGGGCAACGGCTACTTCAGCCTCTGGCTGTGTTTCGGCTTTTCGCTGGCGGGACTGATGGAGTCCAACACTACCGTCCGCGAGAAGGTGCATGCGCGAGTCACAGCAGCCAAGGCTGCAGCAAGCAACGAGTCAGACATGGCATCGCAGGCGGGCCTGGTCGCCGTGGCGTCGGCGGTGGTCTTCATGGGCTGCTTCCCGCTCAACAATCGTCAGAAAACTGTCTTTGGAACTATTTTCGATTCGGAGTGGCCAGCCATCGTCTCACTCGTTTTCTCGTCTCTCTCCTTCATTATCGCTATCGTGCTCGCCTTTGGGAAGAACCTCGAGCAGCAGCTCCCGCTCGTCCGAGCGCTGGCGATCTATCTGCTGGCACCCTCGCCCTGGAAGAGGAGGCTCTGCGCCGGCAGGCCGCCCTCACCTCGGCCGCCGCGGCCCGCAGGTGAGCTGGATCGCGACAACCATCTGCTACACTTTTTACCGCCCCGGGGTCGGCAACGGCTACTTTGGCTGCTTCGCCGCAATTTTCTTCTCCTTCAAGCTCTTTGCGATCTTCTTCTTGAAGGAGAGCCCCGGCCCCGCCGTGGTGGTACATGCCGAGGCAGAGGGGGTGGTGGTGCAGGAAGCAACGGCGATGGACACTAACGCGTCGGCTACGGCTCGCGCCAAGGGAGCCGTCGAGCGATTCGGCATTCTCCCCGGCTACCCTCAGTACATGCTCGGCACGTGCCTTTCCTCCATTCTATGCATCATGGCAGCGTGCATAGTTTATGGCGTTGCCTGGCCAGCAATTGCTAGGACGGCCGATCAGAAGTATGCCATTGCGGTCGGATCCATCGGGCTCGCTGGAGCGGTGCTGGGAGTGGTCCTCGATCGTGACTTCCAGGTCTCCAAGAAGGAGTCTAAAGTCGGTGAGATCTCTGCGCGCGAGCTTCTCGCGGGGTTCCTGGTGTTGTGGTTTGGCGTCGCAGTGATCGTGCTCACCTTCTCTTGGGGATTCGAACAATTTTGGACCCTGGGCAACGGCTACTTCAGCCTCTGGCTGTGTTTCGGCTTTTCGCTGGCGGGACTGATGGAGTCCAACACTGCCGTCCGCGAGAAGGTGCATGCGCGAGTCACAGCAGCCAAGGCTGCAGCGAGCAACGAGTCAGACATGGCATCGCAGGCGGGCCTGGTCGCCGTGGCGTCGGCGGTGGTCTTCATGAGCTGCTTCCCGATCTTCAGCGGTCGGGAGTGGCCAACCATCGTCTCACTCGTTTTCTCGTCTCTATCCTTCATTATCGCTCTCGTGCTCGCCTTTGGGAAGAACCTCGAGCAGCAGCTCCCGCTCGTCCGAGCGCTGGCGGTCTATCTGCTGGCACCCTCGCCCTGGAAGAGGAGGCTCTGCGCCGGCAGGCCGCCCTCACCTCGGCCGCCGCCGCCCGCAGGTGAGCTGGATCACGACGACCATCTGCTACACTTTTTACCGCGCCACCGACATCGGGAACGGATACTTTGGCTGTTTCGCGGCACTTTTCTTCTCCTTCAAGCTCTTTGCGATCTTCTTCTTGAAGGAGAGCCCCGGCCCCGCCGCGGTGGTGCATGCCGAGGCAGAGGGGGTGGTGGTGCAGGAAGCAACGGCGTGAAACTCCGGCGCGGCAGCACATGTAGCAGCCGCCGCATCACGTCAATGCCAATAGGCTTCGCCGCGCGTCGCTGGCGACGTCTAGGGCGTGATTAGGTACCGCACACACGGTGAACAGCGGCAAGAGTACAAAGAGAGTTTATCCTCCGAGAGAGAACGAGTCGCTAAGAGTCGCTTAACATTAAAACCCGGACCATGATACACAGCGCGGCATTCTCTTCACGACGTAGATCACAAGGGCGTAACACAAGGGGGAAGGGAGAAGGCCAAGCCGGTGCCTGCGGATCAGTTTTACCAGTTCCTTGTACCGTACCTGTGTTAGTGCCAGTGCGCGCCAGTCCCGTGCCCAGTGTCGCTCCGCGAATTCTTTTTATCGTCGGCGAGGGAGAAGTTGTAAAATTCTTTTTATGCCTGTGTTAGTGCCACGCCAGTCCCGTGCCCAGTGTTGTGCGAGGGAGTTTTCTTATAAAATTCTTTTTCAGCTGAAAATTCTTTTTATCGGCCCTAAAGCGGGCGAGAGCATCAGGCCTCTCCACCAGCTCACTGCCACTGCCGCCCCACGAACCTTGCACCTCGGGAATGAAGCGTGGAGCAAGGCCTGTGGCTTCGCTTCACAGCTCCTCCACAGCCCCTCCACCTTCGCTCGCGTCGCAGTCTCCGCGTGAAGCTCGCGTTGCGGCCTCTAGGCAGCGAACCGCGCGGCACCATCTTCCTCAACCTCGCCTGGCTGCGGACCGCTGCGCTCGCGCTCCGGCGCCTTATCTCCCGCGGCACGCTCGCCCGCGTCGCCCTCGCCCAGCGACTCGGCATTCCTCCTTCAGCGGCGACGCAGCGGCAGCACGGCATCGACTGCGCGTGCTACTACACCGAAAACCTCTTCGTCCGTTCGCCCGTCGAGGGCCACTTCTGCTTCGAAGGCCGCACCGCCTTTGAGCGCAGAGAGAGGCCGCTGCTCGAGTCTCTCTCTTTCGAGGCGCGTGACGAGCTCCTCTCGAGGCTGGAGGCGGAGGCGGCGCGGCGGCGCGGCATCGTACCGGCGGCCGCGGCGCGCAAGGCCCGCGTCGCGGCCGAGTGCTCGCCTCTCAGCGGAGCGTCGACGACATGTCCGCGACATGTCCCTCCGACGCGTCCACGGCGTGTCCCGCACAGGTACTCGCCTCTCCGCCCCGAGCTGTGGACGCTGTGCGAGCGCTGGCTGCACCGCGACTTTGTGGACCTCGTCGAGCAGGCGAGGGCCCCGCGCCGACTTCGGGCGGGCTTACGCAGGTCCCGGACCCTTCCGGACCCCCCTCGAACCTTTCGGAGGACCCTTCTCGGCAGGCGAGGGCGGGCGAGCTTCGCGCGCCGCCGCAGCTCGCTCCGGGCATCTATACGCTGCCTGTCTTTTCGGAGCTCTTCTGCCGGCTGCTCACCGAGGAGCTGGCTCACTTTGGCGCCTCCGGACTGCCCGTCGGCCAGCCTAACTCGATGAACCGCCACGGCGCCGCCGCCGCCGCCGAGACTCCTGCAGCCAAGACCACTCCGCCGCAGCCGCAACGAGACCATGGTTGCTTGTGCATATGATAGGAGCCCTCCTTGACGAACTCGGGCTCTCGGCTGGCCTCCTCGACCCGCTGCTCTCGGACTGGCTGAGGCCGCCCTCTGCGCCGTCGTCTCCCAAACTCATCTCTCCTCTCCCGGACGGACTTCTTTTTGATCAGGCCGCTATGCGCGGCGCTGCCGCCTCTGGCCGCGGCGGGCGGCGCGAGCATCGACCACCACAAGGCGAGATCGGACGAGATCGCCCGAGATCGCCCGAGATCGACCGAGATCACTCACTCGAGATCACCCGAGATCACCCGAGATCACTCGAGATCACCCGAGATGACACCAGATCAACCGAGATCACTCGAGATCACTCGAGATCACCCGAGATCACTCGAGATGTAGGCGTTCGTGGTTGCGTACCGGCTCGGCGAGGACGAGAGCCTCGCGATGCTCCGAGATGCTCCGAGATTGACCGAGATCATCCGAGATTTAGGCGAGGACGAGAGCCTCTCGATGCACGTCGACAACGCCGAGGCTAGTCTCCACGAAACCCTCGGCTAATCTCGGGTGACCTCGGGTGACCTCGGGTACTCTCCTCGGGTCACCTTCTCGGGTCGCGCCTTCCGAGGTCACGCTCAACGTCAACCTCGGCGGCGGCTTCGAGCAGGGCGAGCTCCTCTTCTACGGGCGCACCGCCCACCCGCTGGCGCACCACGACTGGCACGACGGCGGAGGCGTGGGGCATGGCGCGTGCTGCACTGGGCGGCCTGTGATACGAAGAAAAACTGCGAGCAGGGTTTCTTTTTGTGACAGGCGTGCTGCATCTGGGAGCGCAGGCGCACGCGGCGCTGCCCATCACCAGCGGCGAGCGGCTCAACCTCGTCATCTGGATGCGCTCACGCGCGCGGCGGCGCGAGGCGGGATGCCCGATGTGCGGACAGACTGATCGGCTGCTATGAGGCGCCTATTTTCTAGGATTGGCGATTGCTTCGCACAGCTGGTCTTATACTTGTGTGTCGTACGTAGCAGACCACTACTGATTAGGTTTAGCCACGGCAGTGAAAGCTGACGGTTTTTGTGGCGACTCTCTGGCGCGGGCGCGTGCGGCCTCTGGCGGTGGCGCTGCGGCCTGCGCGCGGGGTCCGGGGACTTCGACTTGTTTGAGTTTCGGTTGTGTCTCGCGCCTTGCGGGGGGGGAGCGTGGCGCGAGTGCTTGCGAGGTGGTTTTGGGGGTGGGGAGGGAGGGGGCTGGCCTGGATCCTGCTGTGGGAAAGTCCTGGCGGCGGGCACGTGCTTGGTTGTCCCCTATGGCGATGCCGGGCACCGACAAGCAGATCTGCGTGCAGTCTGCCCGCCTGATGGAGACGTCGTGGTGGCAGCCATCCTCCTGGCTGCGTGTCTCCATCAGCATCCGCTCCTCCGGCGTCGAGCTCTGCCGCACGCCCGTGAGGAGCGGCCTCTCGCCACAGTGGGAAGACTGGTGCTGCCACGTGCCCGTGCCTCAAGACGTAGCAAAGAAGGGTGCTCGAGGCCTCGATGAGGCGTACGAGCTCCGCGTGCTGAGCTCTGGCCTGCTCGGCTCAACCATTGGCCGCAGCTGGTTGCCTGTGGGCGCTGAGGGCGGTGAGCACCTGGTTGCGCTGTCCAGCACCAAAGGGGCAGCCGCAGGCACGGTCACGCTCGTCGTGCCTCTTATGCCACCTCCGCCTCCGCCACCGCGGATCATCAGCGGCGTCAAGGTCGACGTCGGAGCGGCCGGAGAGGAGCTGCTATTCGCCGCTCGGGCTCAGGCTCGGTCGGGAGTCGTCGAGCCCTCCATGCGCTACCTTTGCGTCCTTGATGCACAGGGGCTGGCAGAAACTGACCCGCACGCGATAAAAGCCGCGAGACCGCCCGATACGTGGATGCGAGTGGTGTCGTTCGATGAGACGGTCCAGCGCGCGGGAATCGACCCTTCGGAGATGCGGCAGACCATCAACCACGGCAATGACCAACATTTGCGGTCCGCGCCATCTCGATAGACACTTACATGTCTCGCGCATGCACCTTCTTAGGCTCCGACAATGCCAAGCAGAGCCTCTACCGCATGGTGGTGCGGAGCATGGCCTTCGTGGACAACGAAATCGAGGCCTCCATCCAAAATTTTCTTCGGCGCTGCGCGCCGTTGCAGTCGTAGCTGTAGTCGAGTGTAGGTACACGTATGTTGCAGCCGCAGCCCAGCTATCGTGCCGCAAAAGGTCCATGTGGCTAGGAAAAATGCTGCCGGTCGCCTCGAAAGCGCCCGCCGGTGTGTGTCCAAAGATGTAGCGCTACAAGTTTGGGGACGCATCCGACACGGGCAGGTTTTCGCGCTTCTATGCTGGCCAACGGTGATGACGCCGTCGCGTCACCGACGGCTCGTGCTTGCGTATGATAGCAACCCCTCGTCCGACGGCAGCGTCCTCGTGTCCGCCACTCCGCCTGTTGGCGCAGAGCGAGCGTGCAAGGCAGGAGATTCACTCTCGCGCCACATCCCTACAGCGGGAGGTTGAGTTCGCGGGAAGAGGAGCTGGTCGCGCTGCAGGCCCAGGTCGGCAAGAGCGTACAGGCTGCCTTTGCTCAAGGTGAGCAGAGCGGCTATGCGTCTGGATCAGCTGCGGGGAGCGTCGCGTTGGCGACTGCAAAGGCACAAGCTGCGCCTGGCAAGAGCGAGCGGCCGAGGGGGTGCATTGTACCCACTCGCACGCCGGCACGAGCGCGGCGCCGCAGTGGGGCAAACGGGGCATCTGGGGCTAGCTCATCTATGAGCATCACCTCTGCCGCTTCTCGCCATCCCCGAGGAGCAGCGCGCCCGAAAAGCAGGTGAGTCACGGCCGCTGTCCAGCGAGCGCGGCGGCGGGCCTGAGGGAACCTCAAAGAGTAAATAGAATTTTAAATAGAAGTTCGAGATTCGAATCCTATTTGACAAAACCGGGAGGGTGAGCTGGAAGTGACGGGAGTACAAAAATCGCCCAAAATTTTCTCTTCGACAAAGCTGGTGTCCGACACCCCGACCGCCGGCCGAAACGGACGCGTCCAGCCCGACCTGCGGCCGGCCGAAAATCATTTAGTGGGCGGACTTGTACTGGGGGTATGGGGTTGAGTTGGCTTGCTTGCGCCCTTAGCCAGGGAGCAAAAATGCAAGAAATTCTTTTACTGGATACTGTGCGCACTCCCCAAGTCCAAGTGCTCCAAACTCGCGGAGCAGGCGGCCCGCACTGTGCCTCTGTGTTCGTGCGTCGCCCATCTCTCCTGGACATGCCTGCTCTATTTATTTACGGCCGTGTCGCGCAGGACGCGGAAAACGTCGCGGGCGGCGGTTTTCACGTGGAGCGGTGCACACATCTCGCCCCACGCCCGGGTCCGCCGCCCGGGCCGCGGCCCGGGCAGCCCGCGGCGGGAGGCGGGGAGCAGCACGCGCGTTGGGGTTGGTACGCCCTTCCCCTACGTGTGATCTCTAACCACGCCAGTCGTGTGCACATGCACATGAGAACGGATCACGAGCGCGCCAGATTTCAATACCAATCATCAAGCCCCTCTTCGCCCTCAGATTCGTCGTAGTACTCCTCCTCCTCATCGGAGTCGGACTCGCGTGTCTGTGGCGGCGCTCCGTTGTCCAGAGCCCACTTCGAGACAGTGTCGTCCTCGCAGCGTTCCAGCGGGTTCGACCCCCATGGGCAGCCGACGCTGCGCACAAACTGAAGCGCCTCCAGGGAGCCCTCCGTGGCGAGATCTTTGCAAACATCGGAGGACCACGGCAATCCCTTGGCATGTGCCCACTTGAGCACCTCCAGTTGGGAGCATCTAGCGGCCCACATCGTACACTCCCCGCAGTCGTCGCCGCGCGACAGCATAAGCTCGAGGATCTCAATGTGTCCGAATCGGGCCGCGCCCGCAATCACGTCCTGCGAGCACATGTACATGTCCTCGTTGTCGTCAGCGCTAGGCGGCCCATCGAACCAGCGCGACAGCCCCCACTTGCAGACGGCAACTTGGCCGCCATGCGCTGCCGCCTCCATGATCCCATGCTTGTGGCCGTCAACATCGCCTTGGTCACGGCCGAGCAGCCACTCGAGCACCTCCAAGAGGCCCTTGTTGGCGACAGCCTCACACACCTCGGTCCAATCAAAGTCCTCGCTCTCCACCTCGGCGCCACCATTGCTCACCGCCCACTTGAAGACGTCCACATGCCTGCCGTACAGCGCCTCGCAAAGAACGTCGCTCGCGTCCCATGGGCACGAGTTCTTGCGAGCCCACTGCAGCGCAGCAAGCTGGCCCGAGTATGCGGCCCTGCTCGTGGTCGCCTCGTCCCACTTGCACCGCCGCTGTCGCGCCCAGCGGAGGATGTCGACGTGGCCACCCGCCGCAGCCTCGGCACACGTGCCCTCGTCCCACGGGCACCGCGACGTCGCAGGCAGCAGCGTGCGCATATACTCGAGACACGCCAGGTGGCCGCCCCCTGCCGCCGCAGCGCAAGCATTCGAGTCCCAAGGGAACTCGAGCCGCCGCGCCTCTCTCAGCACGTCGATCCGCCCCTGCCCTGCCGCAGCCCGGCACACCTCAACGCCACTGCGAGCCAGGCCGAGCGTGCCCTCTGCCCAACGCAGCCGCGCCACGCTCGCGACGTGTCCCGACAGAACCTCGAAGCGATCCTCAAGAGGAGGGGGGCAGAGGAGAGTGCGGAACTCGGCCTCACGCGTTCGGGCGTTCTTGCAGACGACTTCCTCGCATTCGACGTCTTTGCATTCCGATTCGAACGGAATTCGGCCGCCAATGATGCGTGGAAATCGCGCAAAGACGGCGTCTCGGAGCTTGCGGCACGTCAGCATCAGGCAGACGGCGTCTGCAGCCGAGACGAGGTCGGTGACGAGCCGCAGCTCGTCGGTGCCCTGCAGAGCGCGGAACGGCGAGCCGTCGTCGAAGCCAGGAGGCATCGCGGACGAGCGCTGCTGGAGGTCGTCGGCGAGCCTCAGCGCCTCGGCGCACAGCAAGGAGGCCTCCTCAGAAGACAGGGCCACCTTGGCCATGGACTCTCGCAGCGAGTGGAGCAGTGCGAGCGGATTGCTGCTGCCGAGCGGATTGCCGGGAGGCGCCATCGCCGTGAGTGATCGTAAGAATGCCGGATTTACAACCAAACTCCCTCGCACCACACTGCTGCTGCTGCCTGCCGGGACTGGCGCGCAAAAGAATTACAGATGTTGTAAGGTAAATTTCTCCACACACACAAAGTGGTGGGGCAAGGGGGGGGCGACCCTCGCATCTCCACAACCGGACACGGATACGGATGTGCTAATGCGTCTCTGGCTGTGGCTGCCGCTGAAGCATCGGCTGCGGCTGCGGCTGCGGCTGCGGCTGCGGCTGCGGCTGCGGCTGCGGCTGCGGCTGCGGCTGCGGCCGTGGCTGCGACTGAGACTGCGGCTGCGGCTGCGGCTGCGGCTGCGGCTGCGGCGGCGGCGGCGGCGGTGGCTGCGGCGGCGGCGGTGGCTGCGGCGGCTGCGGCTGCGGCTGCGGCTGCGGCGGCGGCGGCGGCGGCGGCGGTGGCTGCGGCGGCGGCGGTGGCTGCGGCGGCTGCGGCTGCGGCTGCGGCTGCGGCTGCGGCTGCGGCGGCTGCGGCGGCTGCGGCGGCTGCGGCGGCTACGGCTGCGGCGACTGCGGCGGCTACGGCTGCGGCGGGGGCTGCGACTGCGGCTGCGGCTGCTACATGTGCCGCTGAGGCTCTTGCTTCTGCTTCTGCTCGGGCTACGGCCGCGACGCGCCTTGCGCTTAGGCGGCGGCCGCAAGCCGCACATTCGCCGCACGTCGCTGGCCGTGAGGCTGTGAGGCGATTCGGGGCAGCCGCGCAGCACACTGGAGAGGGTGAAGCTCCTCTCGAGCTCCGCCGCGAGCGCTGCGAAGAGCGAGGCGGCTGGCATGGAGGAGGAGCGGATGGCGTGGTTTGCGGCGAGCTCGGATAGCACCCCTTTCAGCCGAGAGCCGAGGTCCGGCTCGTGCGCTTCCACAGCCCCCTCGTCGAGCGCACATGGGCCACTGGCCTGGGACGTGACGGGCTGCTCCACCGCATGGCCCTGCCGCCGCTCCTCGCCGCCGCCATGGCTCGGTGTTGTCGGCACGGGCGGCGGGCCCAAGCGGCGCGAGGAGACGGAGGTTGCGGCGGCAGAGAATGCACGTCGCCGCTGCAGCGACTCACTCAGCGAGCGGAGGCGCGTCAGAAGGGCGTGCGAGCCGAGGCCGCCGGTAGCCGGCTGGTCGAGACCGTTCTGGGCGCGCACTTGAGCACGAGCAGCAGCGGACGGAGCTCGGGAAACCTGGTCAGCATTTCGCGGGCGGAGACGATGCCAGCCACCGCCTGGGGGCCATTCACCGAGATGTCGACTGCAGTCCGGCTCTCCTGTTCGGTGAACTTGAGGATCGGCACCCGAGCTGAGGCAATTAGCTCCACAGTGCCTCGGGCCGCGATGCCTTCCTGCAACACAGCATCCTCAATCCTCTGCAAGACCTCCACCGCTGATGTGATGTAGGGCTGGAGGACGGTGAGGTCGATGTCGGAGACACCAGGAAGGAAGAGGCCATTGGAGGTCGATCCGAAGAGTCTCACCTCGACTTTGGTCCACGGTACGGCAATGCGGATGGCAGCATCAATGCGCGAAATGGCGGCTAGCAACTTCGAGCGATTCTCGTCAGTCGGTGTTGCCAACATTGTGAAGCGTGATGTTTCTGCGTGCAGGGAAGTTGGATGGGCCGGCGTGTGTGCTGGCGGCGGGGCCCATGCCAGCTCATCTTCGCATCGCACCCTTTGCATGGGCAACTTTGCATGGGCAACTTCAGCAATGCCGGCGTCAGCTGCAGGGCACGAAGCGGCAGCAGCGACACTGCCAGGCACGATGCTCGAGGCGGACGGCGGTGACAGAACCGAGCAAATTCATCAGTGAACCGAGTATTTGTCAATCACCCCGTTTTTGCCCATTTTCGGTCATCCGTCAAAATATCTGAAGATCTGACCGGGGGAGACCCCAAACCTTGCTCAGCTGATCCAGCCTGGGGGGAAGGCCAGCCCTGGGCAAAGAAACCAGTACCTCAACCGGCTTCCCTGAGCGTCACAGCTCGGTGATCGCGCCGGCCGGACACCACTGTAACGTCCGTTCCGGGCATTTTGAACGCGACCTTCGGGGGCAAAGACATGGGCTCTATGGCTCAGACTGGACTCCTCTTGGTCCCTTCTGATGCCCTAGGCCACACCTGGGCCTTACCTGGGGCTCTAGGGGCCGGGCAGGGTTTGCCCCCCGAAACTGGCCCGGAGGAGACCTCCTAACAATAGTTTGTCCTCGGCCTCCTCGCCACCCTGTGCACGACGTGAATGGTTGTCTTGTCGTAGAGTCCACACGCACCACGCTTTTTGTTATTTTTTTTTGTAGAACGGCTCTTCGGAGTGTATCACCCCCCGTAGAAGCCTCCCCCGCTCGCCGCTTTGCGCCCCTCCAGCCGGTCCTGCGCCGCCAGGTCGCTATCTCGCTCCTTGGTCACGAGGAGCGGCGCCGCGAGCGGCTCGCTCGATCCGCCTCCACGGGCGAGGCCAGCCAGGCTGTCGGAGGAGGGCGTTCCCGTCTGCAGGCGGTAAGCCCACTGCGGGAAGTAGGCCCTCATCGGGTCGTACCTGCACGGATGCCGGGCGACGTGAATTGCGCCTCTTTGCGGAGGGGCGCTCGTGGCGGACGTCGCACCGCGACGGTGAGCGCGCGATCTGGCCGACGAGTCGCTCGAGGAGGGCGGGAGTGACGCGGATGTAGGCGCCGGGCTCCACCATGATGGCGGGAAGCCCGCGCAGCAGCTCGTACTGTGAGCTTGTATAGTCCGTTAGAATAACGGTTCCCGCGGCAGCCGCCTGGATGATGGTACAGGATGATGGTACGCAAGGGGAGGGTGAGCTGCACTGCGAGAGCCAAGCCTCCCAGAACTTGTGCTCAGCGGCGCCCCGCCCACCCGGCGCAAAGAGGACGCGGTACTGCGTTGTGATTGCGCGGTAGTAGTCGCTCTGGCCTAGGCGCTCCCCCTCCGGGCAGGGCAGGCCGTTGAGACGGAGCTGTTGTGCTTTGAACCTGTCCGGTCGCACGGAGAAGGGACTCGAGTGGGAGCGAGGCTCCACTCCTGGCGGCTAGCCGGGTGCCTGCGGACGTACTGGACGTCGTAGTCGAGGCAGAGGAGGAGGCCTGGACGCCGCTCGAGCGGAGTCGCGTTGCGGAGGTGCGGCTCATAGTCCTTTGCGTTGAAGACGTGCCGTGGGAAGCCGCTCACCTATTCGATGCAGCAGCGTGCTGCTATTCCATGCGCTGGCCCCTCGTCCCTCGGGGCGACGGCACAGCTCGTAAAAGGGGCAGATTGGGACAGGGGCCCCAACCTCCCACGTGTGGCGGCACCAGTGCCTTTGAATGGTTTACGAAGGAGGGCGACGGGTTCTGCACGAAGAGGCGCTTCAGCGCGGGGTGGCTCAGGAGCGGCTCTTGTTCTGGCCTCGGGCGGTAGAGGTCGTGGAACTCGAGCAAGCTGACTCGCACCGCCTGGCGGCGCGCCTCGTCGAGGACAGCCGCGTAGTCGTTCAGAGGCGCTGTGAATGCCATCCATCGTGTCTCGCCGCCACTCCACTGCACACCCGAGCCATTCCTCCTCGAAGCGGGGACGAGGGCCCCTCCACGCGCGAGGAGGATCTCGTTATTGTGCTGGAGCAGCAGCGGATGCGGCGGACCGTGCCGCGCGAGCCGTCCGCGTGCGAGCAGCTCCTCCCACAGCGGCTTGTCCACGCCCCAGCTACCCGTCCAGTGCCTGACGCACGGCTCGAGGCATCGAGAGACGACGGAGTACGGCATGTGCAGCGCCCGCACGCTCGCAGCGAGGCAGCTGAGCCGAAACTGAGCGGGTGGGCTCTGCGCAGCCTCCGAGCGGCCCTCGGCAACAAGGCACGAGGACACGCTCGACGCGTCCGATATGGTGTAGCTGGGAGTGGGGATGGCGCGATCAGCAGCAGCGAGGCTGGCAGCGGACGAGTGCCCTGGTAACCAGCGACGCGTCGCCCGGTCAAAGGGCATGCGTAGGCGTGGTGTCGCGACGTCTGGGACGCACGTCAGATTGGAGCGCGGATCTTCCGACAAGGCGCGGATGAGGCGGAGGAGGAGGAGGGGGACGCCTCCCCGAGGGCCCAAGTCCGTCCTTCCCTTTCTTTTTGGCGAGAGAGGCGATTTTTGACGCAAAATTCTTTTTTTTGCCGGGGCAAGTCTCGCAACCGCGCCACCCAGAGCCCTGATATGGCCCTCCTCCTCCTCTTCGCCGCGCCCTGCCTCACCGCGCTTGCCTCGCGCCTCGAGCCTCCGCGCCCGCGGCGGGACGACCTCCCGCTGCCGGAGCTCGCTCGCGTCCCACTGCTGCGGCGGGTGCGGTCGCCGCGCCTGCCGACGTACGCCGAGGCGCAGGCGAGCGCGGTGCAGCACCTGCCCGGCTTCCTCTCCGAGGACGACCTCGCCGCGATCCACCGCCTCGCGGCGCGCGTGCGGCAGCGGCAGGGCACAGCAGGCAACTGGAGCCACACCGTCGAGCGCCTGCACCGCGAGGGCGGCCGGACGGTGTTTGTGAACCACCACCTCGCGGACGAGCTGCCGGGGCTGTACGCGCGGATGCTCCGCGCCGCCCACGACGCCGACCGGCATCTCTGGGGTGGGACGACCGCTCGGACCCGCGCGAGAAGATTCTCGGAGCCTTCTCGGAACCTTCGTCGGAGGTCTTGCTCTCAGGCGGGGAGCTGTTGGCGCGGCGGCACGGGCTCGCGCTGCGGTCGGCAGAGTACCACGTCGTCATCGGCGACGGCGGCGGGCCGATGGATGCGCACGCGGACCACGGCTACCCAGCCACGTCTGGACTGTGCCAGCGCCGCAGCGAACCGGCGGCCCCTCACAGGCATCGTGTGGAAAACAGGCTCTCTGGTCACCTTTGACTTTATGCTCTCCGACACGGCGAGCGAGCTCGCGCGCGGTGCCCTCCACGCACTTCGCGCCCCGGCCGCCCCACCGACCTCCTTTCTTTTCTTCTGCCCCCCCATAGGCAGAGTTCGAGGGCGGCGCGTTTCAGACTGTCGAGCTGGGCGGGGAGGTGGTGCCGCACCCGCCATTGCTGTTAGTACTCCTCAGGTACTCCGACTCTTGTGATTGCTATTCGTATCGCTGCCATCATCATTCTCATGCCTCTCTCACTCTCCTCCCTCCTCCGGCAAGGTCACGACGCACTCGTTCGAGCGCGGCGACGCGCTGCTGCCGCAGCAGCCGCACGGCTTCCCCGCCATCCTCTGAGGCGACGCTGTCCCTTCTAGGCCGCGGCACCGCTTCACATCTCCATACGCGGCACCGCCTCCTCGAACCCCGCCCCTTTTCTCTCCCTCAGGCGACGCGTTGGTCTTCCAGTCACACAAGCAGCACGGCGTCGCCGCCCTCACCGGACGCAGCTCGCGGCGAAACATCATGGTGAGAGATTGAGCCGAGATCGCACGGAGATTGCACCGAGATCGCAGGTCGCGGCGAAACATCATGGTGAGAGGTCGACCCGAGAGTGTCCCGGCATCACCCACGCGAGATCTCGGCGCAATCTCGGCGCAATCTCGGCGCAATCTCGGCACAGCCTCGGCGCAGCCTCCGTGCGATCTCGGCGCAATCTCCGGGTCTGCGAGCTGTGGGAGGGTCTCCCTAGGGCGATCTCGGGCGATCTCGGGCGATCTCGGGCGATCTCGGGCGATCTCGGGCGATCTAGGGCGATCTCGGGCGATCTCGGGCGATCTCGGGCGATCTCGGGCGATCTCGGGCGATCTCGGGCGATCTCGGGCGATCTCGGGCGATCTCGGGCGATCTCACCAGGTGTGCGAGCTGTGGGAGGGCCTGCCCCGCCGCTGTATGCGGCGGTGCGACCAGCCGTGGCTGCCCTGCTACTGCCGGCCATACTTTACCGAGCGCCACTGCCGGAGTGCAGGCATGGGTGGCGGCTGTCATTCTTTGCATCCTTGCGGCGTAGGCCCGACTTCACCGAGTACCACCGCACGGTCCGCGGCGTGGCAAAGGCGTCGCCAGGCACTTCCGCGCGGCTCGACCCGAAGTACCGCTGCGAGAGGTGGAGATTGCCCGAGGTTGCCCGAGATTGACCGAGATTGCCCGAGGTTGCCCGAGGTTGCCCGAGGTTGCCCGAGGTACCGCTTGCGAGATTCATTCTTGACTTATGATTAGGGACGGGCTGTCCGACATCGAGCGGCTGCGCGTCAACGGCTTGGCGTACCACGCGCGCCAGCGGGCGGAGAGGGAGGCGGCGGAGAGGGAGGCGGCGGAGGGCAGGGCGGCGGAGGGGGGAGAGGAGGGCGGCGCCGGCGGCGCCGGCGGTGGAGACTCTTCCGACGCCCTCAAGGCTTGGGCGGCGGAGGTGGCGGAGCGGAGAAGGAGGGAGACGAAGCTGCGGCCAGGCGAGTGAGCGTAAGCGATTCGGCATGTGGCGCACAAGGTGGTAGAGCAGCGTTGCCGATGCCGTGAGGTAAGGGATCGAGCCTATCCTTTTTCTCTTGCAGTAAAGGTAAAGGAAGGTAAGGTAACGCATCTCTACATCCGGACACGGCAGGTGAGGAGCCCCACGGCAATTTCAAAGTCCTCGAAAGTGCAAGGCCTACGCCCCCGTTCTCAGATCTCACAGTCCCTTCTCATCACTGCCCCGGCGACCACGCCTCGACCTTCTTGGGCAGCAGCTGGTTCGACAGGTCCTCCCCGTGGCCTAGGCAGCCGCGGTCACCCTTGCCGCAGGAGAGGACAGCGCCATCGGCGGCGAGGGCGAGGCTGTGCGCGAAGCCAGCCGACACGGCGACGACGCGCCGCCCCGCCAAGGCCTCGACCTTCTTCGGCAGCAGCTGGCGCTGCTCGGCGCCGTGGCCCAGCAGGCCACAGTAGCCATGGCCCCAGCTCCAGACAGCTCCGTCGGCGGTGAGGGCGAGGCTATGGAAGTACCCTGCCGACACAGCGACGACCCGCTGGTCAACCCAGGCCTCGACCTTCTTCGGCAGGTGCCGCCGCTGCTGGTCGCCGTGGCCCAGCTTGCCAAAGCTTCCACCGCCCCAGCTCCAGAGAGCGCCGTCGGCGGTGAGGGCAAGGCTATGCATGCCTCCAGCCGACACAGCGACGATGCGCTGCCCAGCCAAGGCCTCGGCCTTCTTCGGCAGCAGCTGGTTGCGCTGATTGCCGTGGCCCAACCGGCCGTCTTCGCCAAGGCCCCAGCTCCAGAGAGCGCCGTCGGCGGTGAGAGCAAGGCTGTGACTATCTCCAGCCGACACAGCGACGACGCGCTGCCCAGCCAAAGCCTCGACCTTCTTCGGCGGCAGCTGCCACTGCGTGTCGCCGTGGCCCAGCTTGCCAAAGCTTCCATTGCCCCAGCTCCAGAGGGCTCCGTCGGTGGTGAGAGCAAGGCTGTGACTATCTCCAGCCGACACAGCGACGACGCGCTGCCCTGCAAAGGCCTCGATCTTCTTGGGCTGCCACTGGTCCTGCTGGTCGCCGTGGCCCAGCCGACCAGAGCCTCCCCCGCCCCAGCTCCAGACAGCTCCGTCGGCGGTGAGGGCGAGGCTGTGGAACGCTCCAGCCGACACGCTCACGGCGCGCTCGTCACGCAGCGTCGACGGGAGGCGGGTCGGCGTGTTGAGCTGCGCCAGGCCCACTCCGTGGCCGAGGAGGCCTGAGCCCCCCTCGCCGCCGCACGACGAGAGCCGCCCCTCGCCGTCGATGAAGAGGCTATGCCGAAAGCTTGCAGCTGCCCTCGCCGGTGGGTTGGCCTCGCGCAGAAGCGCCGAGTAGCACAGCCACCGCACGGCGCAGCTCTCACCCTCTGGCAGCGCCGGCAGCTCGAAGCCGCGCTCTTGCGCCCACAAGCGGATGGCCTCCACCGCAAGCGAGGCGTGGAAGAGCAGCGATACGGCCGCGACGCGAGCGATGTCGGCGGGGTCGCAGTGAGAGAGGGCGCGCACGAGGAGGTCCGTGGGGAGGTCGACGAGGCGGGCGGGCGGCGGTGTGCTCGGCGAGGGAGCGGCGGTGGAGGCGGCGGCGGCGAGGCGGCGCGAGCGGCGGCGCGGCGGGGTGGACATCGTCATTGTTCACAGAAGGTTTCTGTTTTTCTGAGAGCGCCTTCGTTGTTAATAGTACAAACCCAATGGTTTTCTCCGCTTTTCTTCACAGGATTTTCCTGTGAAGAGAGACGTAGAGAAACAGACCTTTCAAACTCGGTGTCGAACCACCAGCTCGACGCTCACTACAAGTGACAGCCTTGTTCCCCGGTATTGAGAAGAATTCTACGAAACAAGCCCCTCTCACAGCAGACTGGCACGAACTAGCACCACAAAAGGCACAGCAGACAACGGCCCCTTATGGGCCGTCGAAGAGGCCGTCATACTCCTCCGGCCTCGCCCCCCCTTCCCAACCCTCCCCTGGCTCAGGCTCCTCATCCTCGCGGCGCGCAGTGCGCACCCCGCCCCGCGAAGACGAACCCTTCCGCCGGCGTTCAAAAAAGAGGTGTGGACATCGCGATGCTGTACAGCTCAGGATAACGGCTATTCTCTCCTATCCACCCGGTGTGCAGGCGGCGGAGGCGGAGGGCCGGAGGCCCCCAAAGTGCGGAGTTGGGAGAAAGAAAGATCTTCGCAACTGGTCGGCCGCCGCCATTCGGGCCTCCCGGCCTGCTGCGGCGGCGCGGCCGGTTGAGGCCGGGCTCGGCCCGGCCCGCGACGGCTGGCCACCGACGAGCGCGCTCGCGCTGCTCGTCAAGATGGCGGCGGTGGCGATTGCGGCGACAAAAGTTCAGTCGTAAAGCGCTCAGGCCAGGCTCAGGCGCCTGTCCCGTCTTTCGTCGTTTCACGTTTGTCGCATTTCGCACACGCGCGCGCCGCGCGACCCGCGTCGCTCCGCGAGGGCATGAGCCTTCCGCGATTCGATCCCGCAGCCAAAAGCTGCTCGCTCGAACCGCGGCCGACTCTGCCACCGCGGCCGCAGCTGTTGAGCTCTCCAGAAGACAGGTGCCTCATATGCTGCCTCCCTGCGGATGCTGCCGGCGAGCCTGGCGGTCCGCTGTACTACAAGGAAGTGCTGACTCGATTCTACCTCGAATTCTTCTACCCCCACGACTCGGAACGCGAATGTGACAGGACCATCGGGTCCTTCAGCCACCAAAGCGAGATCACCCGAGAGCAGCTGAGCCTGCCTCTGGCCTCGCCTCCCTCTCCTTCAGGCATTCGTGGCATCCTATGGGTCGTCCAGAGTATCGACCTCTGGCTTGTCAGCCGGTCAATTGATGACACCATGAAGTACAGCGATCGCCATCTCGCTGGCCTCTCCGCAGGCCCCCCGACCGCGTCGAACTCACGGCGCGGGCTCTCTCGGCTACGAGACCGGCCCCAGCTTCGGCTGAGGGCTAACAAGCTGCCGAGCCCAAATCATTGTGAGAGCCGTGATTTCTTGTTTGTTTTTTCTCTCTCTCTAGGAGTTCGACGGGCGGCTCGGACGTGTTGTTAGCGCGTACGAGGGTGGGTGTGGGTGGGTGGAGGGGGTGGTGTGTGTGGGGTGGAAATGCGTGTGAAAAGACCGATCATCATGAGATGGAAAACACGCGTTGTGGCCTTGGTGGTGGTGGTGGTGGTGGTGTGGTGGTGGTGGGTCGCGTAGCCGAGCGGGGTCGTGAACACTGTCTCCCGCTTGCGCCACGCGTCTCCCTCTTGCGCCACGCGTCTCGCGCCAAAGAGCACTCAAACCAGATGCAAGCGCTCTTCGGTCTCCTCGCGATCTCCGCCGCCGCCGTCGTGCACGTCGGCACGCTCCGGCAGGGCCACAGCGCGCGTTCTTTCTCGCCTCGCATGCAGTTTGGGTCGCACCAATCCGGCGCGGCGCCGGCGACGCCGTGGAGCATCAAGTCGGTCTCGCCGGACGGCGCGCTGGTACAGCGGGTGGAGGGCAAGACGCGCAAGACGTGGAAGTTCTCGGACCTCTCCAAGGACCGCGTGCAGGTCGCGCTGGCCAGTGAGGGCCGGCCAATTAATTCGGACGTGCAGCTCTGGCTCGGCCCGGACTGGACGCCCTTCACGCTCAAGGCGTACACCGAGGACGGGAAGATCCGCCCCATCATGACGGTCGTCGGCACGCGCAACAAGGCTGCGATGGTCGAGGTGCGCAACGTGGGCGAGTTCGAGTTCCCCTTCTCCGCGGCGGCCAACTACGCGCAGGGGGCCATGGCGACCGTTCCGGTCGACCTGCCCGCCTGCACGCCCGGCGAGCGGGTCGACGGCGGCGCGCTCCGCTCCTTCTCCCTTGACTCGGCCACCGAGCAGGTGGTGCAGCTGCCGCGGCGCCGGCGGCGGATCAGCTTGCTCTGACCGTGCTTCCTCCCTCGCCGCCTCCGCCGCAGGTCGAGGTTGTGCTCAAGACGGACGGGAGGCAGCTCAACGCGCGGATCGAGCTGCTCAACGGGCCCAACAACGCCAAGCAGACGTACGAGGTCTTCACCAACAATGGCGACCTCAACTCGCTCTGCGTCGCCTTCCACACCCCCGACCCGGCCACGACCGTCCGGATTGTCAACTGCGCGCCGGTGGAGTTCCCGTGCCAGATCCACATCAAGGAGAGCGGGCCGGGAGGAGCAGCGAGCCCGCAGGCCCTCGCAGCAGCCGTGGCGGTGCCGGGGGCGGCGCGGGCGCAGGCGGCGCAGGTGGACGGCCCGACCATGCGCTAACAATCTCTCAATGCAGTGCCTGTGGCACACAGCGGCGCAACCGCAAAAGCTTAGAGCCGTCGCGATATAGAGGGCGGGCCCTGGAGGCACGCTTCTCGCCACCTGCTGTGCGCACGCCGTTTCCATGTGTTAAGCTCTGTTGGCGCGGGCATTCTGCTTCTGACTGAGAGTAACGCGGGAAAGTCTGACAGACCTACTTTTTTGACCTCCGACATATTTCGGCATTAGACACAGAGAGCCCGCGGCCAACCGCTCAGCAGCTCGGCAGCTCTCCACGGGCTCACGGCTACCCGACCACCGCCTGGAAGATGCCCCACGACAGCGCCTGCATCAGCATGCGCCGGCACACCCGCGCCTTCGAGCCCACAAACAGGGCTCCGGCGCCGCGCTGCCGCAGCAGCGCCGAGAGCGCCGGCAGTGCTGCCAGCCGCTTGTCTTGCGGAGCCATCACCAGGTGCGTCCGCAACACATCCGCAGGCTGCGTGGCGACGGTGGCGCACGTGGCGGCTGCGGCGCCCGCGGCTGCGGCGGCAACCACCTCTGGTATCCCTCCCAGCGCGCGAAGCCTCTGCTGCAGGTATCGGAGGAGGAGGAGCGACACGGCAGAGTAGGGCACGTCGCGCGCGAGAGAGGGGCCGATGCCCGCCCACAAGCCGGCTGCGCCCTCTCGCCTGGCGAGCGAAGCGAGCTGGGCGAGCAGACCGCCGCCGCCGCCGCCTCCTAGCTCCGCGCGCGTCTTGAGCACTGTTATTGGGCAGAAGATGAACGCGGCCGCTGTCCGGCTGCCACCTCCGAGCGCAAAGTCGAGGGCGCCCTTGGCGGCGCCGCGCAGCTCGCCGAAGGCGGCGCGGGCGGCTCGTTCCGCCTCGCCCAGGAAGACGAAGTAGAGCATGATCCCGCCCGCGAGCCGCACCGCGGACGGCACTGTGCCCGCCCACAGAGCCGCGGCGCCGCCCTCCCGCCACACTGCAGAGGCGGTGCGTAGCATACCGGCCCGCGCGGCCGCAGGTGCGACCTGCATGCGCGTGTTGACGACGTCGAAGGGCTGGAAGAGCACCGACGAGAGCGTGCCGGCCAGCAGGCCTGCAAAAGCCCGGCGGCCGCGATCGGCAGGAGGCGGCGGCGGTGACGACGAGGAGGAGAGCGCGGCCGCAGCCTCGCCGTTGGCCGCAAGGGCGAGTGAGAGGAGAGAGAGGTGGCCGAGGAGGTGCTGCCGCCTCATTGTCGTCCTGTGATCTGGCACACACCGCTGTGGCTTCAACACGGGCCCCGGGGCGTCGTGGCGGGACTGACGCGATTTCTTTTCCCCCAAACATTTTCCGCCTTCCTGGGTGTGTGTTATTCTTGCTTGGGCGGGCCTCATGCCGGGGTAGGTAGGGTAGGTCTGGGCCCTCCCGTCGGGTTTTCCCCTCTCTTCAAGCTGGAAATTATTTCACAGCAGAAAAAGAAATTTTCCGCGGAAATCACGATGTCAACCCTCCCCAAATGGGTGATCTGATGCTTGTAGGGCTTGAGAGTGGCCTGTCATGTCACAAGAAGGACTGTGGTTGCAGGAGAGTTCAGAGTACCACCAACCATCACTCTAGTTGGTATAGTACCCAACCCCTGCCTAGACGAGTACAGCTAAAGAGTACCCGGGGCTCCCCATACGGGCAGTCGAGTGGGGCTATGGGGCGCCCCGTGTCCGCGCGGGGTGGCCAGGCTGTGGCTGGGAGTGGGAGCGCGGCGGCTTTTGCACCTCCTGTGGAAGCAGCCGTTCAAGCGAGGCGGACCGTGCGACTTGATTGTGGACTTGTGTAGCCGCTCCTGCGCGTGGCGGCCAGGTGGGTGGGTGCTCTGGCGGGGTGCAGCGACTCAGGTGGGCGCAGAGGAGCGCGCGCCGGGCGAGACTGCGGGGGCCGAACGCGTTACGAAAGGAATGCCGGTGCTTTGCCCGGGTTTACGCAAGGGCCCTCCCTGTGGCCTGTGTGGGGGCCCGTGAACATCTTTAGCTTGTGAGCCAGGAAAAGGGTTGTATAGTACCCCACCTTCACCGATCGAGTGATTTCTTTTTTAGTTTCCCATAAGGTAGGTAGGTAGGTAGGTAGGTTGGGGCAAAGCAGGGGCCGGCCAGGTTTTTGCAGAATTTCAGCATGAGGCCCGCCCAAGCAAGAATAACACACACCTGCTCCTTCATGCCGCCGAGTGCCCCACTGCCCTGCAGTGACTGCACCACTTTGCGACTTGCACGGAACTCTCCACCTAATCCTAAAATTATCAGCCTCCAGTCAGCAGCCTCCCGCCCAGCCCCCGCCCCTGCAGCTCGACGAGGGCCGGCCGCCACTCCTCGGCGCGCCCCGAGCCTCGCTTGCTGAGTGTGCCTCGACCCACCAGATCGTCCGGTCCGCGGGTAGCGGCGACGCCATCGCCGTCCAGTCGCGCCGAGATGACGAGGTCGAGGCGGTTGAAGGAGGCGGCGTCGGCCGCGCGGTACTCGGCAGTAAGATCGTCGGTTGTCAAAACAAACTCGAAGGGGAAAAGGAGCGGCGTCGCAAAGCGTGCTGAGGCAATCGGCGGCGTTTTCGCCCCGGCCTGCAGCGCGCCTTCGGAGGAGGCTGGCCGAGCTGTGACATAGAGCGCCGCGCCGCTTGGCACGGCGGCGTCGGGTTTCTGCAGGACAGTACCAACGGCAACCACAGTCGGACTCGCGTCTGCGGCACGCGAGCTGGAGGCGCAGCTGAGCACCGCCGGTGCCGCCGCGAGGACAGCGCGCCTCGAGGTTAACGCCTCGAGGTTAACGCAGCGCGCGAGCGACCAGAGCACGATGAGAGACGTCATGATGTGAGGCGTTCTCCACTGCTCTTTCGCTTCGGCAGGAGGTCGAGCGATCGGCAGGCCCAAGAGCCCTCGTAGGGAAGCTGCTGCCAGAGCCGCGAAAAGAATTTATGCAGCCCCGCTAATAAGAGGACGGAAACGCCTCGGGATATAGATCTGCTGGTGTGCGAGACCTCCACAGCTCACATGTGAGCGAGACACGCGGACGTCCTCCCAGTCGCCAAACTTGATGCCGCGCCGCCATTGGTCGTCCCCAGCGACGGTTGCGGTATTTAGCATGGGGAGCGCAGCCTCGACGGCGGGCGAGAAGAAGAACGGCAAGTCCGCTCCCAAGGCGACAGAGGCCTCTGCCCCTCGGCCGGCCCCGGCCCGCCCCCGGGGTGGTTCCTCCTCTTCCGCGTCCTCCTCGCAACGGACGCGCACGTCGTCCATTCTGAGCGCCGCCTCGCTGCTCTCCATAAAGAGAGGCTCGCTGGTCAAGAGGTCGTCGTTCGTCCCGGCGGCAGCCGACGTGCAGCAGGAGATCGACATGAAGCTGGGCGGCGAGGCGGACGCCGCCCGCCCGCCCTCTCGCTCGATTGTCGTCACCGGCCCCCAAAGTGGCGGCAAGTCAACCCTCATCCGGCAGCTCAACATACTATTTTCGGTGGAGGCGGCGGAGAGTGAGCGGCTCAAGTACAAGAAGGAGTTGCATAAGACCGCTCTCCTCGCCGTGCAGATCCTCCTCAGCTCCATCGACGAGGGGGAGCGCACGCCCGAGGCCACGGCCGTCCTCTCGCTCCGGCGGCGTGCGCCAATCACTCCCGGGAAGCTTTCGGCTGAGTGAGGAGGCTGGCCTCCTCGGCGACGACTGCATTCATGGCGTCTGCGCCGAGTTTGTAGCAGCTCATCTCACGGCGGACGACCTCGTTGGTGCGTCCCGGGCCCCGCAGCTTGATGATATGTTGAGCCCCATGCTCCTTGACCCAATCATCGTTGATTGCCTGCGACACCTCGGCCGGGAGTGCAAATGCGTCGGCTTGAGGGAAGAGCTCTCGCCGAGAGAGGGGCGTAGATGTGGTCGCCGAAGGTGCGGTCCTCTCTCCCGTTTGCGGCGTCGTTTGTGGTACGCTCGAGGATCGAGTCATCGCCGGCGGCGATGCTGGACGCGTGGACCGGACGTAAGTTGTAAGGCCTTGGGGACGTGGCAAGGAGTTTCGCGTACGTGGAGGCAGAAGCATCGCCGCTGTGGAGGCAGAAGCAGGCTGACTTTTGTCGGTTGTAACGATAACCGGATCACCGGCGTCCCGGACAAAATCGTACACCCCGCCTGCTGTCCTCACACTCCCCAACCCCCTCGTGCCGACCTTATGCCGACCTCATTACTAATTTATCGACCACCACCGCGAGAGCCAACCAGGGCGCTCATTGCTCCTCCGTCTCTTTGTTTGCTCCATCTTTCTTCCATCCAGCCTTGATCAGTAGTCTCCAACATGTGCATACTAGCTTCATCTCCACCAAAAAAAAACAACGATTCGCGCCGCATTGTGCAGGCTGTCACGCCACATCCTTTTGCCGCGCTTTCCCATCCTTGCCATGCTCTTCAGCATCCTCGCCGTCTCAGCGCATTCGCCTTACTGTCGCCGCGACGAGAGCTGCTGGCCGACGGCGGCAGAGGTGGACGCTCTTCGCCAGAAGCTCGAGCCCGCGGCCGAGCGCACGCTCACCTGGGACGGGCCGGGCAGCCCGCGCCCGGCGCCGGCCGTGCTTGGACTGAAGCTGGCGCTGGAACACGAAGCAGCAAAGCTGGGCGTGCTTTACGTTGACCCAGCTCGCTCTCAGCCTCTCTCCGGGGCGGGAAGGAGCGGAGCTGTGATGGACCCGGTCGTAGTCGCAGACCCGTCATCAAAGTGCGGAAGCACAGTATCGTACGTCGGAGCCGCACTACGGCAGCCCCTTGCCGAAGTCTGGCAGCCAGAGTGCGCAGCCAGCCTGCGCAACAACCCCCTCCCAGATCCACTGCTCGCCTCCAGCGAGCAGGACCTGCTCAAGGCGGCGTTCGTTGTGTGGCCGCTCACAACGAACCACGTGCAGGAGGCCGTGCTCTTTGCCGCGAGGCATAGGCTCTGCGTGGCCGTGATAGGCACCGGCCATGACTGGGCCAACCGCCACTCCTGCCCGGACGGAGTCTACATCCGCACCTCCCTCCTCAACTCGCACTCCTTCGACCCGAGCCTGGACAACGGATGTGGCGCGATGGAGTTTGGCGCGGGGCTCACGTTCGAGCAGGCGCACTCGTACGCTGCAAACCACGGCCGTTTCATTGCGAGCGGATGGTGTCCGACGGTGGGCATCGCTGGCTGGTCTCTCTCGGGCGGCCACGGGCCCTTTGCACCATCAAAGGGCCTCGGCGTCGACAACCTGGTCCAGGCAGAGGTCGTGCTGGCCAACGGGTCCGCAGTCACCGTCAACAGCACTCACCACCCCGAGCTTTGGAAGGCGATGAGGGGGGGTGGAGGGGGCGCGTGGGGTGTCGTCACGAAGATGGCGCTGCGCGCGCACCCGATCGAGGATGGCGGCTTCACCATGGCCACCGCTAGCTTCCGAGGCGACGGCTGCGATCGCGCTGTCCTCAACAGGACGGTCGAAGCCATTTACGGCAAACTCGGCTGGGCGACGTCCGTTAACAGCACCCTCGGCGGCTATGGGCTCATCGCCACATCGCCGAGCTTCTTCAGTCTCTTCAAGTGCCATGCAACGTGGAGCATCGATCTCATCTACGCGTGGCCCGGTGACAGTGGCCAGGCGGTGTGGGACCAGCTGGCTGACAAGACCGACGGCCTGGCGGGCAAGTTCACAAAGAGGACCTACGGCACGTGGTGGGAGGCAGTGCGGGCAACGGATGAGTTCCAACCGTACAAGGACCTACCACTCATTGAGAGAATCGAGGTGGACGCCATTGGCGACGACGCGATCTTGCCGATGCCGTACCTGAAGGGTGGCGCTGGGCCGTCGGTTCTCGTGCCGCTCGAGAAGCTCGAGGGTGGTGACGTCGCGTCCGCGCTCAAGGATCAGCTCGCCTCCTCGCTCACCTCACACCGCGCGTCAGCGGTGCAAATCTTCCAGGACCTCACCGGAAACAGGGGCTCTGAGCACCTGCGGAACCGCGACGACACATCCATCTCCGACGGCCTGCGAACCGCAGCTTTGCATCTCGTCTTTTCGGCGGCCGGAGGGCACAGTCGTGATGCCGACTCTGCCTTCTGCAAGCTAGGAGCGAACGCGTATCAGGCGGAGGCGTCCTTTGGCGCTGGCGCCGGCACGTTTGGCATGAAGCAGCAGGAGGTGGCCCAGGCCTGTGGCGGCGGTAGGTGGAAGGAGACGTTCTGGGGAGAGGAGCTGTACGGTGAGCTGAACGAGCTGAAGAGCCGCCTCGACCCGAATAAGACCTTCTGGTGCCGCTACTGCGTCGGCGACAACACGTCGTTGGCCTAGACCGCTAGAGCTAGAGACCCTAGTCTCGAGGCCACTGCTATAGTCCTCGAAAGACGAAGTGAGACGCGTGTCCATTGCGATCTTTGCGTGTGATGTCCCGAAGGAAAGAATAATTCACAGACCTTGATATTGAGAATACCTCCTCCATGGCGCTGCGCGCTGTGGTCTTCAGGACTTCACACCGTGTGTAAGAGGAGCAGAGTTCCACTTAACTCCACCACACACACAAGTCCCCGACTCCCCCCCCAAAAAATTGCTTTAGAAGAAAAACGAGCACGCATATTCTCCCCCCTCCATTCTCTCCCCCTTGGCGTGGCGCGCCTCTCCCCCAGCTCTCGGTATCGCGTACTGCACGAGGCTACCGTGGGCCCCGCCTACGCGCTGGGGGTTCCCTGCCCTGTCGGGAAGCCTAGCTCTGAACCTGGGGTCGCTACCTAATGCGGGGCGAATGAGTGATGAAGTTAGTGCCTTGGTGTGCCCGTTCCCCATGATGGCTTCCCCTGGTCTCGCGACCATGAATGAGAGCTCTCACTCCCAGGGTACTCCCGCGTATCTCGGCTCCCTTATCCCCCCCCTCTTCCCTCCCCTTTCTCTCTCCGAGATGACCCGTGCTCTACGTGCCTAGGTTCGGTCCTCGGGGGGGGGGGGGGATTGTCGGTGTGTCATCATTGGGTATCCTTGTCGATGGACGCCCAACAGTTTCGATTTCCCTCCTTAGCGCCCCGGGTAGAGCGTGGCCTCCCCTGGAGCCTGCCACGCCCGTTCTGTCTAAGCCCAGGGTTCAGCTTTCCAGTTGATCCTTATCGGACTGGTGAGTTCCTTCTCGCTGTCAGTGTGACGCCCCGGCAGTCATTGGCGGCGGTGCTACACACACTATCCCCGACTCCCAAAACCGGACGTGTTCATGTTCCGCGCGAAAACCTACTTAGCCCTGAATCGCGTACTGTCGAACAGTCCACCCGGCGGCGCGTCGGAGAAGTCACGTGCACCGCCTTGGCCTTGCACGCCGCCGGTCAAGTCGCCGCCAGTGACCGCCTTCCGCAGCGCCTGGTTCACCCCGAAAACGTCCGGTAGACCTGGTGGCTTGTCATCGCCGTAGACCGTTGGCTTCTGCGGCGCTAGCGGGTTTTTGAAAGAGCTGGCGAAACCGAACTCGGAGCCCTCCGTGCTGACCGACCCGCTGAGGCCATCTTTCCGGTCGTCTTGCGCGCAATAGTCCACGCAAGAGCTCTCGCAGTAATCCCTCGAGCCTAAGTAAGGTAGGTAAGGTAAGCTTCCCACTCACTAGTCCCACACACTGGCGGGCTCTCAAACCTGCCGCAAGCCGGCCGCAGTTCTTGCGGCAGGTCTGAAGGCAGTCCGCCGCCGCCAGTGCCGCAAACGGCTGGAGGCCGACCGCCACTGCGGCAGCCTGCCCGATGAAAGCCCTGCGTGGCGGCGAGCTCAGCGGCGCGTACGCGAACTGTGCCAGGAACAAGCTAGCCAGCATGGACTTGTTCACGAGAACCGAGGGGTGGGGCGCGCGCGCGAGACGGGGTGGGGCCGGGGTGGGGCGCGCGCGCGCGGCGGCGGGTGTGCGGGATGTCTGTGGGCCCGAGAGCGATATGCCATGTCCGGTTTCTTTCATAACATCGAAGGCTAAGCGCAAAGAAACCGCCTTTCCTTGTTTCTTGGAGCACTTGGAGCACTTGGAGTGCAGTCATCAGCCTCACATCCAGGGCCGGGGAGCTAAGAAGCGCACCCAAATTCTTTTCTTTCTTTCTTTCGGCTTTTACATCATACATGACCAAAAAATCTGAGTCTAAACGTAGATCGTAGTAACGCGCTGCTCGAGGTAAGCTGTAAGAAAGAAAGGAAGGAGACGACCGAGTCCACGCCTGTAGAGATACTGGGAGGCGGCGAGCCGGAGGACCGGATCGTCGCCAGGTGTTGCCGACGCGTCATCGAGGGTAGAGTCCCCTCTCGGCGATGGCCGCCTCCTCCTCGGCCTGCGCGGCGCGTTTGCGCTCGTCGTCCGCTGCCTTGAGCCCGCGCACAATCTCCTTCCCCTCCCTCCGCTCCCTCTCTGGCATCGCCTCAAAGGCGACGCGCAGCTCGTCGCGCGAGCGCGAGTACGCCGCCGCCATCGCGAGCAGGTCCGCCTGCGAGAGCATGCCGTCGCGCCGGCTCGCGATGCGCTTGACCTCGCCGATGGTCAAGGCGGGCGTCGCGCAGCCGGGTAGCGAGCTCAGCCTTGTGTTCCTGAGCAGCACGTCCACGGACATCTCCATCTGGTTGCGGCCAAAGGCGTAGCCCGCACGCTCGCGCTCCTCCTCGTCCGAGTAGCTCGCCGCCCGGCGGAGAGCGTCCTCCTGGAACTGAGTCACCTCGGCCACCCGGAGGATCACTGCCGCGGGAGGAAGCTCGGCGGCGGGAGCCGGCAGCGGAAGGAGGAGCGCGGTGGCGGCCGCGCTCGCGCCGAGCCCAGCGGCGGAGCGGCGGTCGAGCGAGATGGCGCAGAGACCTTGCACGGCGGTGGCTGCTGGTGCTGTGGCGCGGAGACCTTGCACGGCGGTGGCTGAGGCAGGACCTCCTTGCCGCTGCGGGCGAGAGTATGCCAGGATGGTGGCTGTGAGTGCGGCCGGTAGGCGGCTTCGCATTCGTGCTCCACTCAGCGCCAGGGTTCCAACTCCTAGGATCCTAGCCGGATATGGGGTCTGCGGCACTCGCGACAAAACGCCCTACCTTCCTACCTATCTATCCCAGGCCGCGCAGCGAAGCGAAAATAGGCAAAAATAGTGGGTACCTACCTATCCGGCTAGGAGCCCGGGCCCAGTTCACCGCCTTGACAAGAAAATACATTAACCGGGCTGTGCGGCGCTGGTTGGTCGATGAGAGGTTGAGGTGCGAGCCCTGGAGGCCCTGCCTGGGGATGGAGGGAGACTACCCGCGGGCCTAGAAGGCCCGCGCGCAGGGGGGTGGGACATTCGCAGGCCTCGATAGGATTCCTGTTGAGTCCTCTCTCTCTCTGTAGAGAAGAAAATACGGCTTTTGGCGTCATACACATGTAAACTTGCAACCCCGGGCCCAAAATCGCACAGAGACAGTCACGCAACACGGGGCCTTGGAGGACGGGGGGAGCCAGAGTCAGTACAGCCAACAGAGCCAGGGGGGCGAGAGCAAAGGGAGCCAGAGCAGCCAGGGCAGCCATAGCACTGCGAGAAGTCCAAGACGAGGACGCCACAACCGCCGCGCGGCCCAGCAGTTCATGGACCGACTGAGGTTCGAGCTGCTTCTCGGACACAGCGGGGGGCTAACCAGGGACCCCCCCCACCGGCCAAGCCAGCGGCGACGACGGCACGGGGAGCGCCGAAGAAGAGATGCCCGATCGCACAACAGAGCCAGGACCGAGCGAGCGGCCATCCGAGGAAGGCCCCCAGAATGGGACGACAGCCAAACAGATGACGAATTTACAGTGATGGACGTAGACGAAGAGCAGTCAGAGGAAGAGGCACCCCGGCCGCCGAGGAAAAGGTGGCGGTTCGTCGTTCGAGAACGATCGTAGCAATTCGATGAGTCAGGGGGAGGGGGCGAGCAAACAGCATGAAGAGGAGGGAGAGCCGGTGACGAAAGCCCAGAAGCAGCGCCTACGTACGCAAAAACGAATGGAGGGATCGGCAAGAAAATCGGGGGATCAAACGTCATACGAGAAAGACCGCAGCCAGAGGCGAAGAGGAGGAGGGGTGAGGGAAAATTTCTGAACGACCGAGCCTGCAAAGCAGGCCCGGACAACTAAGAAGGTCCCTCGCCCAGTGTTCATAGATCGTAGTGGAACTTAACAATGCTCGTACAACCATGATCGATGCGAGGACGCAAGTCCCCACACCAATCCAAACTCGGCCATTCCAACGGCCAGACCGCTCGCTTAAGGCTGATTGGCTAGACGAGCGGTCTACCTCCAACGGGGGCGGTCCGGGAACGCGTGGAACCTGCCCACCTCGGTGGGAGGTGGTTTGGCGCCGACGGACCGCCCTCTCCACCACCCCTGCCCAGGGATCTACAATGCTGTCTTAAGGTCCGACCTGTGGGCTCTGCCTGCGCTCGGCACCGGGCACCGCCTCGGTATACAAAATGCGCCTGCGGGCGGACCCTCACAGATCACAGATCACACGGGGCCCTCCCAGGGAAGGCGAGCAAAAACCTTATCGCGCGCTAGTCGCCGACTCGGAGGCCGCACCGGTCAGGCGCGCAGGCGCGCGCAGCCGGAGAGAATTTGAGGCGCTCAATCGCCGCTCGCTCGCGGCGAGCGCCTCCATCACGTCTCCGCCTCATACGGCCAGCTGTCTGTTCACGCTGGGAGATTGTCCCCGTCGTTTCTTCGTAAATAAAATAGTTCAATCTGCCACAGGAAGGCGGTATTGGCGAGCCTGGTGAGTAGAGGCCCCGCCCACCCAGGGTACCCTCTCCGAGGACCTCTTGGGTTTCTCTTTCGGGGTCTCGCCGGGGCTCTGCTGTAAGAGACCTTGAGAGAGCGTACTTCGAGAGAGCGTAGGAAGGCGAAGAACAGTCAGGCTCGGACTGGACCTGGACGAGCAGAAACGACTAGAAAAAAGAAACTGCCGCAGCCCACATTTCGGCGATCAATCAACAACTCACACCTCGGCGCCGGCTCGTTGACCAACTGGACAGCAGGCTTGGTTGTGCCTCTGCACTCTCCTCCGCTGCCTCTCTCTTCCTCCCCCGCTGCTCTCTCTCTCTCCCTGCTATCCCTTCTCCCACGACTCTCTCTCGGCTGTGACGCCTCCCGCCGCGACATCGAGCAGGACCATGGGCAAGGGAGGAGAAGGAGCTCGCAAGTGAGGCTCTGGATGCCCTGCACGACTCCGTACCACGCCCTGACTCTGGCGCGTTCAATAGGTGCCCGTTCGATGGCGATGCCGCCAAGAAGGGTCTACCGTCGGGGATGTCCGCCGAGACGATCGCGACAGTCGACGCCACGGCCGGCGCGGTCGCTCCCTTCGCGCTCGACATCACCAAAGACTTTTACGGCGACATGATTGCGTCGCTGCCGTCCGTCGTCCTCACCGTCTTCAACCCGGCGCACAACGTTCCCATCTCGACGCACCAGCCCGAGGCGCTGGCGGCTTCAGTCTGCGCGTACGCCACCAACATCAAGGACCTGTCGCCGCTCCTCGTGCCTGGCGGCGCCGTCGACGCGATCAACCACCGGCACTGCGCGCTCAACATCCAGCCGGCCCACTACCTCCCCGTGCACGACCACCTGATGGGGTCCATTGCGCATGTGCTCGGCCCGAAGCTCGGGGACGCGCTCACGCCAGAGGTGGCTGGCGCGTGGAGCGAGGCCGTCCGCTTCCTGGCAAAGGCACGCGAAGCCACATGCCTCACTCCTCTCCCGCTGACCCCACCCCCTCCTCGGCTGCCACTCTCCCTCCCCGCCGCCTCTCTCTCCTTGCTGTCTCCTTCTCCCCGCCGTCTCTCCACGCTAGCGCCCGCACGAAGGCGGCAGCGCGGCCGCCTCCCGCCGCGAGGCCTGCCCGCCGCGACACCTGCCCCGCAGGTCTGCATCGACAAGGAGGAGGCGCTGTACGCCGAGTACGAGAAGCGGCCGGGCGGGTGGCGGGGGCTGAAAGACTTCACCGTCACCGAGATCGCCGACGTGGCGACAGGCATCAAGAGCTTCAAGCGCGAGAGTAGCCGAGAGGAGCCGAGAGTAGCCGAGAGGAGCCGAGAGTAGCCGAGAGGAGCCGAGAGGAGCCGAGAGGAGCCGAGAGGAGCCGAGAGGAGCCGAGAGGAGCCGAGAGGAGCCAGCATCAGGAGCGTCAAGCGTGATCCTCTTGAGTCAAGGCCGAGCCCGCTGAGCCGCTGTCAGATCCCGACACCGACCCTAACCCTGACCCTGACCCTAACCCTGACCCTAACCCTGATCCTGACCCTAACCCTGACCCTAACCCTGACCCTGACCCTGACCCTAACCCTGACCTCGGCCCTGACCCTCACCCTCACCCTCACCCTCACCCTCACCCTCACCCTAACCCTGACCCTGACCCCGGCCCTAACCCCGACTCTCTGGGCCCGACTCTGTCCAGGTTCGAGCCCGTGAACCCGCTCACTTCCGGCTTCGCCTTCGAGGCCGGCCAGTACCTCACCGTCAAGGTGCCCGAACCCACAGCGCGCGACAGCGCACCAGCCTTTCGCAGTGCGACACACCGGCCTTTCGCCGCCGCTGCGGGGCATCGCTAGGCGGCACTAGGCGGCGGCAGCTAGCAGCTCTGCAGCTCTGCACACGGCCTGCGCTGCTCCCGCAAAGGAGCGGATGCCTCCTCTGACTCCTCGAGCCGCGGCGCAGGTGGACCCGAACGGGGACGGCCTCACCGCGCCGCGCCACTACACGGCCACCTCGCCGCCTGGGGCAAAGTACCTGCAGTGCACGACCAAGAAGGCGCGGCACACGGCCCCCGCCGTCGCCCGCTCCTCTTCTTGCTACAGTAGCAGTGGTCGAAGTAGCAGTGTTAGCAGGCGCGGCCCCGCCTCCGCCCCCGCACTCCGAGGCCGCCTCCACTCACCCGCACGCGGCGCGAGGGGCTAGGTGGCGGGCGGCGTGGTCTCGACGTACATGCACGAGACGCTCAAGGCGAGACTACCGAGACGACCCGAGATCAGCCGAGATCAGCCGAGATCAGCCGAGATGGGCCGCGGTCTCGCCGAGACTAGACAGACAGGGCCAAGCGTGGCCCCTAGCAACGAAGGTCCCTCTCGGAGCCGTCTCGGAGCCGTCTCGGAGCCCTACCCCGTAGGTCGGTGACACCGTCAAGCTGACGCCTCCCTATGGCGTCTTCACCCTCGACGACGCGGCGCCGACCGCCGTCTTGCTCAGCGCCGGCGCCGATACTGCAGCCGCGATGCAGCCGAGATACCGCAGCCAAGCCGCAGCCGAGATCATGAAGCCGAGATGCGGCCGAGATAATGGAGCCGAGATACAGCCGAGTTGCAGCCGAGATGCAGCCGAGATGATGCCGCCGAGATGCAGCAGCCGAGATGCAGAAGCCCTGTGGCGCTGGCCCATTGCGGTCCCCTAGAACCGCGAATGATGTCGCGAAGCGAGGCGCGGCTCACGGCCGCCGGCTTGCTGGCTTGCGAGCAGGCATCGGCGTCACGCCGATGATCAACTTTGCGCGCGCGCTCGGTGGCAAGGTTCCGCTCGGTGTGCCCCTCCGACGGCCCATGATGAGGTGGTGGAGCACACGGTGTGAACCATGTCAGGTTGCGCTGGCGGTGCACGTCGACAAGTCGGCCAAGGCGCACGCGCTCAAGGGCGAGTTCGAGTCGCTCCTCGGCAAGAAGAAGCTTCTCTGCAAGTACACTGACGGGGGCAAGCGGCCGTCGGCGGCGTCGGTCGCCGCCGAGACGATCTCCAAGGCGGGTACAGAGCACGTCTTTTACATCTGCGGCCCTCCGGCATGGATGAGCGAGATGCAGGCGCGGAGAGGCGGCCCCTCCTCCTCCTCCGCCTCCCCTCCTCCGCCTCCCCTCCTCCTCCTCCTCCTCCTCCTCCTCCTCCTCCCCTCCTCCTCCTCCCCTCCTCCTCCTCCCCTCCTCCTCCCCTCCTCCTCCTCCTCCTCCTCCTCCTCCTCCCCTCCTCCTCCCCCCTCCTCCCCTCCTCCTCCTCCTCCCCTCCTCCTCTCCTCCTCCTCCTCCCCTCCCGCCTCGGGGCGAGAGGAGACGGCCTGTGCTCACGCCGCCGTGCGCTGTGGACATTTGGACAGGCGGAGCTGCTCAAGCTCGGCGCCAAGAAGGCGCTGTGCGACGTCCTCTCGTGCTGACAGCGTCGAGGCCGGCGAGGCTGACCCGCGATGGGCCGGTGCTAGGTCATGTGCGAGGTGTTTGGCTCGCAGCTCGCCACCAGCTGCCCTTTCGCCGCCTCGCCGCCCAAGGCCGGCCGCACAGCCAGACTCTGCCGCCATCGATCACCACTTTTGATTCGAGCCTCCGGCGAGCTGTTAGGCGGAAGATAACAGCCCTGGCGCCGCAATCGAGGGTATGCTCGCTCGCACGGTCGGGCCGTCGCTCGCCCGCACCTTCACGGAGGCGATGCCGAGCGGCGGAGGCGCAAAGGTTGCGGTGGGGGCGTGTGCGGTCGCCGCCGTCGCCGCCATCGCTTTCAAGGCCCTCCGCTAGGCTCGCGCGCGCGTTCTCTTTTTGCCGCCCGCCCGCTGAGTGGGGGCGGTCTCTTGTCTCGCCGTGTCGAGCCGTGCCTTCTGTCCAGTGCCTCCCATCTCCCGTCGACTTGAGCCTTGCGCGCTTCGTCTCGTTGTACACTCCAGGACGCCTCTGAGCTGGTGCGCCCCGATTCTCCCCTGCCGTCACGCGCAGTCGCATAGCGATTAGTATGCGTCGGGTTGGGCCCGTAGCGTCTGTTTTTGCCAAGGCTTGTGTGTGTGCGTCTGGGAGGGGGTGTACGGTTGGTCTTGTGTGTCTTTCTGCGTCCGGGTCTGGCGTCTGGCGAAAAGCGTCCAGCGAGGCACAGCGTCCCTCCGGAGCACGACATATCTTTTTTTTGATCTCCCAGTGAGATTTCGATAAAACCACACCGATATATTTCTAGCAAATTTGGGGTTTCGGCGACACCTTCGACTAAACCCCTTCGCCGCCCCGTTCGTGTCTTTCTTTCCCTTTTCTGTGTCACGAAATGACAAATGTCAAGTGAACACACTCTCACTCACGAAACTCAGGGTCTAAGGCGCGCGTGGGCCACCCCACGTTGTGTGCGTCTTAGTAGATAGTACTTAGAGTGGGGGGCGCTTGGCCGCGCTGGAGCGTTAGAGAGCTCTCTCGCGCATAGACGATAGAGCATAGAGGCGATTGAATGCCCGATAACGGCCCGACTTCCCTGTGTGGTGGGACCCCGTGTTGCGTGTCTGACTGCTGTCGTGCGATATCGGGGCTGTGCTTTTGTGTGAACAGGGACTGCGTGCCTGACTGTCACTTTGCGATTTCGAGGGTTCTGTACGTGAACAGTGAGCTCACACTAGAGGCCGTCATCGCATTCGCCTTCCTGGGACCCAGCGCCGACTTCTGACTGTCGTTGCTGTCGTGTCTCTCCCTTCTCGACTGTCTGTGCTTGTGCGTCTTGCGTCCGGGTTGTGTTTTTCTGTGAACGGGTCCCGGGGTTGTGCGTTTATGTGAACAGCGTCTCCTGTCTTTTGTGTGAACAGCGACTGGCCGGCGCTCTCGGCGGTCGAGTTTGCGGCGCACGCGCTGGACAGTAAGAGTGTCGATGCCATTCCACTCCTCCAGCGGCGGCGCGAGCCGCCAGCCGACCGCGGGTGGCGGCGGATTACCCTTCTGGTTTCTCCCGCAGGCGCCGCCAGCACCGCCGCCGTCATCCCAATGGCCTCCCCCGCCGTCACCCCCTCCCCCGCCGCCGCCCCCTCCCTCGGCGCTGCCTCCTCGTCCGCCACCACCTCCGAAACCACCGCCTCCTCGCCCGCCGCCACCCCCTCCCCCGCCGCCGCCCCCTCCCTCGCCGCTGCCTCCTCGTCCGCCACCACCTCCGAAACCACCGCCTTCTCGCCCGCCGCCACCGGTCGCTTCCTCCCCCGCCGCCACCGCCGTCTTCCCCGCCGCCGCTTCCTCCCCGCCGCCACCGCCGTCCCCCCCGCCGTCGCCTCGCCCCCCGCCGTCTCCTCGTCCATCGCCATCGCCTCTCATGGCTCCATCCGCGCCCTCGCCAGTGACCTTTGTCGCTAGTGCTCCAGGGGGCGTGCCGTCTCCTCGTCCGCCGCCTCCTCGTCCGCCATCTCCCCCGCCGCCGCCTCCTGGTCCGCCGCCGTCCCCACCGCCTCGCCCGCCCCCGCCGCGCCCGCCCCCGCCGCCTCGCACCCCGTACGCCGTCGTTGCGCTCATTGGTCTACCCGCCCTCCTCTTGCTGGGCGGCGTTGCCTACCTCTTCATTCGAGCCCTCCTTCGGAGAGAAGGCCCGACGCCCCTCACCTTCGCCTTCCCCGCCGGCCCGACGGGCCTCTCCCTCGCGAAAGACCCGGCCGGAGGCGGCGGGCTGGTCGTCGTGGCCCTCGCCAACCAGCCCGTGCCGCTGCTGTCGACCGTCGTGGCCCTCAACGGCGTGCCTTCGAAGGGGCTGCCTCTCCAGGTGGTGGCTCACATGGCGAGCTTTGGGCCGCTCGCGCTCACGGTGCGGCCTCCGAGCAGCGCTGCCGAGCAGGCCGGCGGGAGGGGTCGTGCGGCGGCAGCGGCGGAGGCGGTGGAGGCGGCATTAGGAGTGGGGGCGCCGGTGGCAGCAGCCGGGGCAATGGTGGTAGCGTTGGCAGCGGTGGCAGCGGTGGCAGCTGTGGCAGCTGGGGCGGCGGCTGTGGCAGTGGCGGGCGGTAAGGGCTGCAAGGCCGCCGCCGCCCACGCGCATGGCTGGCTGCGGAAGCGCCGCGCGACTACCTACGCACATATGGAGGAGGCGCCCGTCTCCTCGCCGATGCCGTCGGCGGTACACGCCGCCGACGCGCTGGAGAAGGGCATGGCGCCCGAGGAGGCGGCCGAGGCGGCGGAGGCTGCCGCCGACGCCGTGGAGAAGGCGCCCGACGGCGACCTGGTGGCGAGGGGGCGAGTCCCTGCTCGCGAGACACCGCCCACTCTTCCGCCGCTCGGGCCCCCGCTGGCGAGTCTGGAGGAGGAGTGGGCGGTGAAGGTGAGATCAGAGGCGGCCGCGGCGGGGGCGACGGCTGCGGCGGCGGTCGAGGAGTGGGCGGCGGCTCAAGAGGCGGCGGCTCAGAAGGCGGCGGAGGAGGCTGCTGCCGCCGAGTCGGCAACGGCGGCCGAGGCGGCGGCGACAAGGGCGAAGGAGAGGGCGGCGAAGCAGGCGGCGGCGGAGAAGGCGGCGGCGGAGAAGGCGGCGGCGGAGAAGGCGGCGGCGGAGAAGGCGGCGGCGGAGGCGGCGGTGGCGGGGATCGAAGCCTTGTACCCGCCGCCGCCTCGGCGAAAGTCGTTCTTTGAGCGCGCTCGGCAGGCGATCAAGCCACTCGAGCCGTCCAAGGCTGAGGGGCAGGAGGAGGTGGAGGAGTCTCCGGAGGAGAGGGCAGCTCGGCTCGCAGGTTCAGAGCACCGGTTCGAGGAGGTGGAGAGGGCTGCGGCGGCTGCGGCGAAGGCGGCGAAGGAGGCGGCGGAGGAGAGGGCAGCTCGGCTCGCAGGTTCAGAGCACCGGTTCGAGGAGGTGGAGAGGGCTGCGGCGGCCGCCTGCCGCCTTCGGAAGGCGGTGAAGGAGGCTGCTGCCGCCGAGCTGGCAAAGGCGGCCGAGGCGGCGGCGACAAGGGCGAAGGAGAGGGAGGAGGCGAACCAGGCGGCGGCGGAGAAGGCGGCGGCGGCGAAGGCGGCGGCGGCGGAGGCGGCGGCGGAGGCGGCGGCGGTGGCGGGGATCGAAGGCTTGTACGCGCCGCCGCCTCGGCGAAAGTCGTTCTTTGAGCGCGCTCGGCAGGCGATCGAGCCACTCGAGGCTGAGGGGCAGGAGGAGGTGGAGTCGTCGCCGGAGGCACTGAGGGCAGCCGCTGAGGCGGAAGCCAGGGCGGCCGCGCGTCGCCACTCTCGTTCGGCAGAGCAATATGGGACCGGCTCATGGGACTGACACGGAAGAGATCTCTCTCTCTGACACAGCAATATCACATATCAGGGGTCCGGGGGGCAGACTTCTCCCGGAATATACGTTGTATACGTGGTGAATAATGTATGTGTGTGTGAAGCTGTGCGCGCTTACGTTAGGCTCTTTATATATGGCATAGACGATAGAGCCGTATGGCTATGGGGTTGCGTGCGTGTACGCTCGTCGGCTTCTGAAAAGCTGCCCCCAAAACAGCACTCACGGTTCTCACGTGTCACGACTCAGCAGGCCGCCAGCGCCAGGCGTTATTTGACCATATATCGATTATCGTTCTCACATCTCAGCGCTGTGTTGCCGGCAAAGTACAAAGTGCAAAGAGAGAATCAGTCTCGGCCGGGGTTCGTTCGATGACGATATGTGTGTGGAACGCGATGATAGTCGGCTCCCACGCCCGCGTCGCGCACGTGGAACGGCTGCCACAGACTGAGCACAGAGTGTGCGATAATGTGATATGTGTGTGTGTATGTGCGCGTGCGTGTGACTGTGAGCGAGGTGTCAGTGTGTGTGAAGGGTCGACGGGTGTCCCCGCGCCCAGGCCTTTGCCGCACACCCCTTTTCGAGTGACTCTAAGTTCTCTAACCTTCTGATCTCAGCGGGCCAGCCTTGGCCTCGGCCCTCGGTAGGCGCCAGCTCGGATGTCTAACTCCGGGCTTATGACGCGCAGCGTCTCGGCGCAGCAGATACCTTCGCTCCCGCCGCCCCTCGCACTGTCCCCGCCCGCCGCGGCCTCGGCCAAGGCGGGAGCCGCCTCGCCCTCCGAGGCAAAGTAGTGGCAGTCGCGGCCTTTGCGGTCGTCGTATGGGGGCAGCTGCAGGTCGAGCACGGCGGTGTCTGCGAGTGCCTGTGGCGGTGGGGTGTGGCGGCGGCGGGCCAGGGGAGCGAGCGGGTGGGGAGAGGAAGCGGATAGGGGCGGGTCGGTGGGTTGAGGCGGAGTGTGCGTGTGTGTGTGTGCGTGCGTGCGTGCGCGCGTGCGTGTGCGTGCGTGCGCGCGCGCGTGTGTGTGTGTGCGTGTGTGTGTGTGTGTGTGTGTGTGTGTGTGTGCATGTGTGGGTGTGTGCGTGCGTGCCGGGCACCTCAAAGGAGTGAATGTTTGCAAAGTCTGGCCGCAGGGCAAAGGTGGGCGACTCTGGCGTGAGGATCGTCTCGCCTACGGGCAGGTTCCGAGAGGGTTCCGAGAAGTTTCCGAGAGGTGGCGACGGCGTGAGGATCGTCTCGCCGCGCAGCGTAGCCGGGTATGCGTCAGGAGGGGCTCTGCCGCGCTGCTGTTTGCGGCTCGCCTCTGGAGAGGGCGGAGAGACAGGGAGAGGGGTGAGTGCGCGCGCGAGGGGGTTGGGGGGGGAGGGAGGGAGGGAGGGAGAGGGGGAGGGAGGGAGGGAGGGAAGAGGAGGGAGGGCGGGAGGGAGGGAGGATGGCGATTTTGCGGTCTCGCCGTCGAGCTGAGCCCCAGTGGGAGCTGGAGGGAGCCAGTCGTAGCTCCGCATCGCGAGCGAGCCGTCAATCACGCGGCAGAAGACCGTCATCTCGGCTGCGGCGGTGTGCAGGCGAGGCGCAGTGAGGGAACAGCCGGCGGCGCAGCGGAAGGCGGATCTTGCGGCGGGGCAAAAAGGGCGCACGGTGGTCGTGCAGCGGCAGCCGGACGCCACGTGGGAAGAGGAACACCACCAGCTCGAACGCGTCCGACGCGTACACCGTCTGAGTGATGATGGTGCTGCCGGCGCTCACGCTGCCGGCTGCCGGTGCGGTGTCAGGAAGGCCGAGGTCAGCTGCGGCCACCGCGTCCATCAGCAGAGAGATCTCGCGTCGGCGCGCCTCGTCGAGGCCGGAGGCGCAGGCTGAGGCGGCCAACTCGCAGAGGTTCTGCACCCGCGTGGTGCGCATATACACACATATATATTTGCAAATGCCGCCCCTGTTTGCGAGAAAAAGCCCAGTCGGCTGGGGCCCCGAGAGCGATATGTCTTCTCCGCCTTGCGTTGTTTCATAACATCGAAGGCTCAAAAAAGACACATATGCCAGGGACTGGCGCGCACTGGCACTAACACAGGTACACAATGAAGAGTTTAAAAACAAGACAAGAAAGAACAGAGGAAAAGAAATCGTGGTGGGAAAAGGCTTAAGAAATACAACTCGAGTGGTAGAAGAGAAAAAATGAAACGTCTTACTTTCTCTCTCTTCTACCTCGATGTTCGTCTGCCGAAATGCTCGCACGATCCTGCCAAGCACACACGCCCCTGAGGGAGGGTGTAGAGGATGTAGAGTGTGAGCGCTGTAGAGTTGTAGAGATGTAGAGCGCTGTAGAGCTGTAGAGCTCTACATCCGCCGCGTGACGATGCGCCTGCGTTGTAGAGCGATGTAGAGCGCGATTTTGTTGAGCACTTGAGCACTGGATAGGGTCGATTCCGCATGGTACGGGAGGTACGGGACCCCTCGATCGTCTCGCCCTCCCTCACTGGTGTGTTCATTGGGGGGGGGTCATAACAAACACGGTACAGGATCGAGGTGCACGCTGCCAGAGCAGTGTCGTCCCCCCTCTCCCCGACGGCGATGGCGGTGTGACCGATCGAGCTACAAGAGGAGCTTGTTCAGCAGGATCCGGGATAGTCCGATGCACTACCTCACTGGGCCTGTGAGACCATCAACGACAGCACCCCGTCACCCCTCCGGATTTGTGTGGGGTCGAACCACTCCGCACCGGGATGGGCAAGCCCATTGTACGTGCATCTGGTTAATTGTCAAAATTCCTGTTGTGCAGGAGGGGAGGGGGCTCTGACGGAGTGCGAGGCGGGGGAGGGCAGGGAATGGGCGCGGGGGAGGGGGGGGGGGGCTCAGCCGTGCAAAAAGCATCAATTAATAATAGTAAGGAAGACATATTGCCCGGCCGTTCATGAATTCCGTCTCGATTTTGGTTTTTTCCCACAGACCACTCGGGCAACTTTTACGAAAGGCAAAGTTTTACTTGACCATTCGGGCAGATTCGATTGCATTTTACCGCCCGGGCAAACTCGATGAAACGGGCGGACGGAAAAACGCGTTTGCACGGCTCGCCGGAGCTATGCATGGAGCGGCCGGTGCGCCGCCGCAGCTCACCGATGGAGCCTGCGTCGCGGCTCAATCCACTGACGCAGCAGCACTGCGACACACTCTCCAAGCACGGCCTCTGGCGTTGCGATTGCACAGAGAGCGAGCAATAGGCGCCAAAAGCACAGATCTGTGTGCAGTGGATCTCCATGTCGGTCGCGCCCGGCGAGAGGACAACCGCGGGCCACGGATGCTCGCCTGGACGCGAGCCCATCGTGCGAGTTGCGGACCCGGAGGCGGCCGGCCCAGCTCACCCCCAGAGAGGCATGTCCAGGGTCAGGCATAAAAGGGGGGGTGTTTTCCGTCCGTCCATTGTATCACGATTTTGTTGTAGAGCTTGTTGTAGAGGCTCTACAGCCAAACCGCCGGGAAGGCAGTGACTCAAAGAGGCCGAGTCGCACTAATGGGGTGTCTCCGAGCTTACTGGAGCTCTGATGGACGGCCCTGACTATCCCTGACACACAGAGAGTCACTCTGACAGCACACAACGCCCTATGACTGCGTCATGACCAGCCTGCCATGCGTCGCCGGTGCCGGCATTCGTCGCAGTGCTCCTTTAGCAGGCGGTGGACTGTCGGCTGCGAGGACGGTCGCATTTGCGCGAGGCGAGGCGAGCATTCGGACGCGTTGCATGCGCCATGACTCGCGCCAGCGCGTGCGGGAGCTCCTGGCTGAGCGTTGAGTCCAGGCGAGTTGCGCTGGTCACTATCGCTACGCTGAGCCGAGCTGACGCGCCGAGGCGCCGGCCAGTCGCAGCCGTGAGGCATGCCATAGCAGCAGAGGCACCTCCCACCCATTGGGCGGGCAGACAGAAGGCCAGGGCAGCACTGGCAAGTGCAACGCGCCTCATGTCGGAGAGCGACCGTGCCTCGTTCGCCGCTTATGATGTAGAGTTTGTTGTAGAGATTTCACTCGGAGAAAAATCCGTTACGGAAAAGCATGCGCGACGCTGCCTCTTTGCGCCGCTCGCTCGCGGCGGCGGGAGACATGGCCGCCGATGCGGCTCGCACTCGCTCGGCGGGCCTCCGTCCCACAGCCGCCCGGGCGTGCCAGGGGGCAGCCTGGCGCTGCGCTGCTCGCACGCTGCACTGCACAAAGCTGTGACAACAAGGGGAGGCTCCTGAGCTTCAGCGTTGAGCAGTGCAGCTGCGGGCGCTCGTGGGCGGCTGTGCAGTGGTGAGAATGCCTGGTTGGAGGCGAGCTGGCGCTGCGCCAGGGTGCGCAGCATGCTCCCTTGCTCTGTCCTGAGGCATGCTGGTTGGCGCCCAGCACAATGCCCTGGATGCATTGCTCCACGCCGTGCTGGCTGGTGCGGTACTGCCAGTGCGCCGACTGGCGCGCAGGGTGCGCGTCGCCGCGCGTGGCGCGGGAGGCGCGAGAGGCGCGGCTGTCGGTCAACCCCGCGGCGCAGGCGCGCCGCGGAAGCTGCTCGACAGGCGACTTCATTGCGAACGCCGTCGCCGTTACTCCAACTTTCCTTTGCCGATCAAAAGCGCCCGTCCTTTGCTTTTTAGCCGCCGAAATTTAGCCCGCTGTTTTTCTTTATAGGCGCCTGCAACTTCCTAGCTGCGTATTCTTGTATTATCGTCGAGTAGTACAGGTACTCCGTGGGGGCAGTGTGTATTCTCGTAACATGCACGTATTCTCGTATCACTGGCTCCGAGTAGAAAAAGAAAGAAAACATGTGTTTACTAGCTCCGAGTAGAGGGGGCGTTCTGCTGCTAGGGGAAACCTGGAGCGCGGAGCTAACCCTCGGAGACCCGTGTTTACTTTAAGGCCCTTGCCCTGCGAACGCGCACCCCCGGGGCTAGGGCTCTCTAGCCCGTAACCCGATACCGATCATCCGGCCCGCTGGATGCGCTTCTCAGCTCACCGGCCCTGGATGTGAGGTTGCCGACTGCACTCCAAGTGCTCCAAGTACTCTCTCGTTGTAGAGCGCCTCTACATCGCTCTACAACGCAGGCGCATCGTCACGCGGCGGATGTAGAGCTCTACAGCTCTACAGCGCTCTACAGCTCTACAGCTCTACAGCGCTCTACACTCTACATCCTCTACACCCTCCCTCAGACACGCCCCATCCCGGCCGCCTAGGTGCCGCACTCCACTACGCACTAGCTGTGGGAGTACTGTGGGACTGTGGGTAGGCCACGGGGGGGCGTCCAGGAGGCTGCAGCCACCTGTGGTTGAGCTGGAAGCAGAGGTCCTCACAAGTGCAGAGGTCCTCACCTCGCCGGAGGACCTCGAGGCCTCCCGTACCAGAAAAAAGAATTACAGAACCGCGGCGTCGTCGCAGAAGGAAACACTTGACGGATGATGAGGTAGGAGAGAGAAAGCGGATACCAAACAAGAAACAAGAGCACAAACGTACTCTGAGCAGCAGGGACCCGAGGGACCATGTGGAAGACGGCTAGTGCTAGTCCCGCCCATCGGGAGGACGACCCCGGCTAGTCGCCGACCACACCCACAAAGAACCCTGCACAAAGATCGCACGGGAGGGGACCTGTTCCTTTTTACCCATCTCACAGTAGAGGTGTCCGTTTTTATTTATTTATCATTAAGTAAGGGTCAATCTGAGCCTGACTGTTCTTCTCCTACTGACTGCAAGAATTCACGGCTCTCACAGTGATTTGGGCTCAGCAATGCAGTGAGGAGTTCAGGCCTGGGCCCGAGCCCCTAGGGCGACAAGACATGCGCAGAGGGCGGTGAAGCGCGGTGAGGGGCCGAGGGTCGAAGACGAAGAGAACGAGGCTGAGAGTAATTCCGCAGAGCCCGAAGATTCGCAGCGATCCCGGATCGAGGGGGGTAGGCACGGGCTAACCACCCCAGAGGTGGGGCAGTGTGAGCGGAGGCCTGCGCTCGCGACCGGCTTTGAAGTAAAAATTCTCAATTCGGCTGAATTCGGGCGGTTAATCTCGGAGGGGGGGTGCATCCGCAAGAGCCACCCCGCAAGTCCGGGTCGTGTCCTGCCGCCGAGGCTGGCTCATGCTGCCGACTCAGGCAACGCATCCGGAGGAAGGAGGCAGTGGACAGAGCTCGCCCTTTCCGGAGGGCGACCGGCGCGTGCGTCAGCGGCGTCACCCTGCAGCTGAGCAGCATGAGAAGCGCGTGGCCGAGATGCGGAACCATGCAGCTGCCGTCCGGCTCGAGGAGTCCCTGGAGACCAAACAACGGGCGCCGCAGTGGCCCTCTGCTACCGATCCGCAGTCGCACAGCCCCGTGGTTCCCGAGGCCCTGGTCTCTGCGATGGTTGCGGAGGCCCATGCGGCGGCCAACGCCACAGGGGCCGCCGCCGAGGCGACCTCCAACAAGTTGGCACAGACGGTGGTGGGCGAGTTCATCGTAGCACTAGGCGTGGCCGAGCCGGGCACCCGCGTGAACGAGCTCCTCAATAGCATGCAGCAGCCCGAGATGAGGCGGCTGCACCAGCTACTGCTCTCGAGCCGCGCCGCCCTCTCACGGCTGGATGCCGCCGGAGGCATTGCAGGGTGGGCTGCCGCAGACAGAGACCTCATGGATGCGCGCCTGGGTGAGGTTGTAAGGCTCGTCGACCAGCGCACAAAGTCGCTGGGTGAGCCGCGGTTCCACCGGCCTGCCTGCATGCCCTCTCCCTGCGAACCGCTGCGACAGCGGGGCCCACCTCTCGTGCTGACATCCCTCGTGCTGGCCCCTCGCAGGCAAGCTTCGCGCTGCCCCCGAGCCTACCCCTCGCGAGCAGATGAGGCGGCAAAACGCAGTCCTCTCGCTGCCCGCGCTCTGGGAGAGCGCCGCCAAAGACATGGAGCGCGCCGCCAAAGAGATGGAGGCTCGCACGCACCTCGTTGCAGCGGGCTGGCTGGAGGGGTGCGCGAAAAGCCCAAAGGGCTGCGCGCTCGTTCCGTATCGCATGCGAGGCAACGACGGCCACTGCGACGTCTGCAAGGCGAGGCAGCCGGATGGTGCAGTCATGGCGTCGTGCCGCGCTGAGGATTATGACGTCTGCACCAAGTGTATTGGCCAGCTGTCGCGCGACGCGAGCCAGCGGGCAGCGCCCCCTCTGCATGTGGTTCAGGCGGCGCCACTGCACGGGTTTCAAGCGGCCGCCGGCCAGCTGCCTTTGGGCGGCCTGGCAACCCAGCCGCTAGAGGAGTTCTGGCGGGGCCGCTTTTATTATCCCGTGCCCCCGGAGATGATTGGGGCGATGGTCGAGGCGCTCGAGACCCACCCAACCGCGCGGGACAGCGACGGCTTGGAGACCGGGCTTCTCGCCTCGCCGTCCGAAGCGGCGCCGCCACCCCAAGAAGAGCTCGCAGAGGAGGAGGAGAGGCAGTCGTTACGGCGGGAGCTGCAGCAGCAGCAGCAGAAGAAAGCGGAGGCGGAGGCTAAGTTCGACGCGCTCATGGCGCGGGTTCCGCCGGAGGCACCGCTGCTACGCGCGAGGACGCAGACACAGCTCGACTCGCTCAGGAGCGACATGTCGCAGGCGGAGGAGCAGGCGAGCCGGCTGCGGCAGCGGATCGAGCAGCTTGAGCGGCAGCGGTGTGCCTCCTCCCTGGCTGAGCCGAACCTGCTCGACGAGCTGGTGGCGCGGCTCGATCTCGACCTCCGAAGCCGCGCCGAGCGCGATCGGCCTCCACGGTCGCCTTCTTTCCTCGACTGCCCTCCTGCCCCTCGAGGGTCCGATGCAGCCGCGCCACTCATTGACGGCCTGCCGAACGAGGTCTTACCCGCGCTGAAGGGCCTGGTCGGCGTGACCTTTGAGCGGAATAGCCACCCCTCCGCTGGCCCAGGCGGCGCGCTTTACGAGCGCTTCCTCAACCAATGCGCCGACGCTGCCGCCTCGGCCCTCGCCGGTGCCGGCACCAGCCCCGATGGCGCCGGCAGTGCCGCCATCGCCGCTCCTTTTACGGTCGAGGAGATGGAGTACACTTGGTGCTTCGGGGGCTTCTGGGACTCGTCGACGTACATCGATGGCAAGCTCTACTCGCCCGAATTCACGAGCGGCCAGTACAACTGGAGCGCCCCCCCTGTCTCGCCTTCAACCGCACATCACTCCTCTGGTGAGACCATCGCCCTGCCGCAGGCGTCTCCTGCTCTTCCCCGGAGGCAACAAGGCGCCCTACCTGGCGGCCTACCTCGACGTCCCCGACGCGGCGACGCTGCCGATGGGGTGGACGCGGGATGCGCACTTCACGCTCACAATCCACAACCAGAAGGAGCCGTCGCGCAACGTCGTCAAAGGCGCGCCCGCAGCCATTGTATCGCGGCGCTCCGGCGCCAGCAGCGACGGCCTCACCGCCCCGCGTGCGCTGCAGACGCCGACCACCAGTTCAGCGTGCGCGCTTGCGATTGGGGCTGGAAAGACGAGCTTGTGACGCTGGCGGAGCTCCGAGATGCGAGCTCTGGCTTTGTGGTAAACGGCGCGCTTAAGGTCTCGGTCAAGCTGCGCGCAAAGGTGTGGGCTTGGCCGAGGCCTCAGGACCCCCAGCCTCGGGGTGAGTGGCACGGGGACCCCACTCTCTTGCGTGCGCAAGCCGACGCCCTCCTCTGCGGCGAGGCCAAGAGCGGATTCGAGGTGCACTTGCTTCTCCACGGTAGGCCCGCCCGATGAGAGGAGCTCCGCGTTCGAAGTCGCGGAGAGAGCCCTGCTGGACTCTAGGCACGTTGCGCGAGAACTTTCCCTCCATCCTCTCGACCGGCCTCGACCCCGCGCGGCGGGGGCTGCACGGGCAGGCGCTCGGCCGCGGCGACTACTTTGCGCGCAACGCCTCGTACTCGATCAGATATTGCGACTCCGGCTCGAACCCGCGCGCGCCGCTTGGCTCGCTGCTTGGCGCGCCGCTGAGTTCGGCGTCAGCGGCGCCGGAGCACACACGCGACGGGCAGATGCTGGTCTTCGCCGTGCTCCTCTCGCCACGCGAACTGGGGACCCTCGCGACAAAGGGCATCTGCTGCGTCAAGGGCACGGCGTGCAGCCTGCCGCTCGGAGTCCTCTCCTGGGCCGACCACCGGTTCGGTGACTCAGACCTGCGGGGGCCACGACGGCGGCAGATCGCCAGCGGCATGGGCTTTGGGATGCAGCCGGCGCCCGCACCAGTGCTTGGCGGCCCTGGATGGGCGCAGCATCCCTCGCTCGGAATGCCTCCGATGCCTCAGGTGCCTCCACCGCCTCCGCCGCCTCCGCCGCCTCCGCCGGCCACGAATCCGTTCCTCGCCGCAACCTTCCCGCTCGGGGCGAGGCCAGCCGCACCGCCGTCGCAGCCGAGGCCGCCTCCCACCCCTGAGGCGCAGCGTGCGGTCATGAAGGAGCTGGCGAGGCTACGGCGCGACGTCGAGGCTGCGCGGCGCACGTGCGTCGCCAGCGCCACCACCGCCGCTACCCAGCTCGCGCCGGAGACCACCGGCCCCACGGCGGGGCAGGGTCCGCTGGACTCGCGGCTGGAGAGGATCTGCGTCGAGGTCGCGCGCTCCCGCGGCATCACGGTTCGCGAGGTGCCCCTTGTCCGCAAGGCAAACTTAGCGATGAAGGCGCTCGGGCTCCCCTGCGACAGCTTGCTGGCAGACAGCTTGAGCCTTTCCACCAAGATCGAGCTGATGGAGGGCCACCTCTTTTACCACGTCGCCCGGTCAAGCTCTCCGCCGACGGCGGCTGCGCAAGAGGCGGCGAGCGCGCCGTCGCCGGCCCCCAAAGCGGCGGTGGTGGAGGCGGAGGGGGTGGTCGACGTTGCGGTGGATGAGTCGGACCTCATGACTTGGACCGTCCAGATGGCAATGCCTCGGGACTCGCCTCTCGGCGCAGACCTCGCCTCCTACGCCGCGGCCGTCAAGGGGGGCGGCGGTAGCCTCGCCGCCACCGCCCCCCTCGCCGCCACCGACGCGCCCGCCACCGTGACGCTCGAGGTCGAGATGCCGCCCAACTTCCCCGCGGCGCCGCCCTTTGTGCGGGTGGTCGCGCCGCGCTTCGCCTTCCACACGGGCCACGTCACTGTCGGCGGCTCGGTCTGCATGGAGCTGCTCACATCGGCGGGGTGGCGCCCCGAGTACACCCTGCGCAGCGTGCTCGTGCAGGTGCGCGCCGCGATGATTGCGGGTGGCGGTCGGCTGGACCCGCGCCGGCCGCAGGTGCCATACTCGAAGGACGAGGCGCGGCGGGCCTTTTGGCGGGTGGCGCAGCAGCACGGCTGGGAGCGGCCCGGCTCAGGGCATTGAGGGGTGTGCGGAGGTGCGGGGTGCTGCGCCGGCGAGTCAAGCGCCTCGATGGCTGTAAAGCACCATCGGGCTGTAGCGCGCTCGCCGTATTGTCGCGGGGAGGTATCCTCGGGGGGGGGTGATGAGCAGGAGGTGGTTCGCTCGCGCCGCGGATTGCGTTTCTACCTAGGGATCTTGTGTTGCGAGCGGCCTTGATGTGAATGTACTGGTATGTCTATGTCTATGTGCGGTTTTGTTGTCTCTCGTGGAAGTTGTCTCGTTGTGTGCGGTGTGCCCCCAGGTCGGGCGTTGTGGATATCGAGGGTGGCACCATATAAAGAAGAAAAACGCCACACAGATATCGCAAATTCTTTTATTTGCCAGCTTCGAGCTTGCGCGCCCGCCACCGCCAGCCCCGTGCGCGTGCCTAGTGAGTAGTGTTGTGAGACGGAGTGGCAGACGCACAGGGTCGCGCCGCCAAGAGCTCTAAAAAAGAATTCAACCCACGCTCCGGATGTGTGGCATGTGTGGCAGCCAGCTGAGTGTGTCTTATGAGCTTGTGTGTCTGTGTGTCGCTCCAGCGTGTTCGAGATCCGGTGGAAATCCCTCGACTGCTCACTGCCCCGGCGCCCACGTCTCGATCTTCTTCGGCAGCAGCTGGTTGGAAAGCTCCTCCCCGTGGCCTAGGCAGCCGTGGAAGCCCATGCCCCAGGTAAAGACGTCGCCGTCGGCGGTGATGGCGATGCTGTGGCTCTGTCCAGCTGACACAGCGACCACCCGCCGCCCCGAAAAAGCCTCCGTCTTCTTGGGCAGCAGCTGGTCCTGCGTGTCTCCGTGGCCCAACCGGGCAGTAGATCCACCGCCGCAGCTCCAGGCAGCGCCGTCGGCGGTGAAGGCGAGGCTGTGGTATGCTCCAGCCGACACAGCGACGACGCGCTGGGTAGCAAAGGCCTCGATCTTCTTGGGCAGCAGCTGCCGCTGATAGTCGCCGTGGCCCAACCGGCCGTCGTCTCCACGGCCCCAGCTCCAAACACCGCCGTCGGCGGTGAGGGCGAGGCTGTGGTCGCGTCCCGCCGACACAGAGGCGACGCGCTGGCCTGTCATGGCCGCGACTTTCTTCGGCAGCGGCCGCTCCTGCTCGTCGCCGTGGCCCAACCGGCCGTCGCCTCCATAGCCCCAGCTCCAGACGGCGCCGTCGGCGGTGATGGCGACGCTATGGTGCACTCCAGCCGCGACAGCGACGACGCGCTGGCCAGCAAAGGCCTCGACCTTCTTCGGCAGCAGCTGGCTTTGCCGGTCTCCGTGGCCCAGCTTGCCAAAGCTTCCATAGCCCCAGCTCCAGACGGCGCCGTCGGCGGTGAGGGCGAGGTTGTGCACGGATCCAGCCGTCACGGCGACGACACGCTGGCCAGCAAAGGCCTCGATCTTCTTCGGCAGCAGCTGGCGCTGCCTGTCGCCGTGGCCCAACCCGCCAAAGCCTCCATAGCCCCAGCTCCACACGCCGCCGTCGGCGGCGAGGGCAAGGTTGTGGCAATCTCCAGCCGACACGCGCACGGCGCGCTCGCCTCCCAGCGGAGAAGGGAGGCGGGTCGTCGTGTTGAGCCGCGTCACGCCCTCGCCGTGGCCAAGGAGGCCTGGATAGCCTGCCTCACTGCCGCAAGAAGAGAGCCGCCCCTCGCCGTCGATGAAGATGCTGTGATAACTGCCTGCTGCCACCCTCGCCGGCGGGTTGGACTCGCGCAGCAGCGCCGCGAAGCACAGCCACCGCACGGCGCAGCCCTCGCCCTCTGGCTGCGCCGGCAGCTCGTAGCCGCGCTCTTGCGCCCACAAGCGGATGCCCTCGACAGCGAGCGAGGCGTGGAAGACCAGCGAGACGGCCGCGACGCGAGCGATGTCGGCGGGGTCGCAGCGAGAGAAGGCGCGCACGAGGAGGTCGGTGGGGAGGTCGAGGAGGCGGGCGGGCGGCGGCGTGTCTGATTCGGGCGCGGGTGGCGCTGGCGCGGCGCACGATTTTTTATTTTCACAAATGATCCTCTTCCCTGCAACCCTTGATGGGTTACCCTTGATGACAGCTCCATACACATAACATCGTATATGTAACACATCTGAGCGAAAAGAAGGAAACCGGGTGCCTCGAACGCGAGTTTCTCGAAAACGCGAAGAGACGGCGCGGCTCGCGCGGCTCCGGCTGGCGGTGGGTTACCACTACGAGCGTCAGGCGGCGCAGCGCGGTGGCTTCACGACGGGCCGCCGTACGCCAAGAGTAGCACAGTCTTGTGCTGGTGTGTTGCAATGGTGCCTCTGCACGCCGTCGACGCCCCCAAGGCTGAAGCCGACGCCCTCTCCGACAGCCTCGAGTGCGTCTCGCTCGACGCGCCGGCTGTCGTCGACATGCCGCTCGAGCTGCTCGACCTCATCGTCCTGGCGGGCGGCTGGCGCGGCTGGTTCACGTGGAGAGCGGTCAGCCGGCGATGGTCGGAGCTCCCGGAGCCCTTCCGCCGGCACGTGTGCGTCGTGCCGGACGATCAGGAGACCATCGTGCGCGGCATCAGCAACGCTCCCGCCAACGAGGGCTGCGGTGGGCCGCTGGTGCTCGTGCGGCCCGGTACCTACGCGGAGAGCGTGCGCGTGCTCCGTGACGTGACGCTCGTGGGCCTGGGCGAGGTGGTCGTGCGCGCGCCAGGATGGGAGAGCGCGCTCGTCTGGGGCGGCTACACGGTGCGCGGCGTCAAGTTGTTCGACCAGTTTGATCTGCAGTCGTCCAACGCGGGCGCTGGGGCACGCGTGCACAACCTGACGCTGTGCCAGCGCAACCAATCTCAGGCGACGGCCGTCTACTGCACGTGGGGCACACCACTGTTGACTCACTGCCGCATCGGGGGCACCGTTCACGTCGCTGGACGAGGCGCGGCACCGACCGTGCGCCATTGCTCGATTGAGGGGTCGCGAGGCGCCGGCTTGCGAGTCGTCGATCACGCCGGCGGCCGGTACGAGCACCTGCGCATCTCCGGCAGCCGGACCGCCGCGGCGCACGTCTCGCTCAATGCGCGCCTCGACGCCTTTGATCACAACACGTTCGTTGGCAACGGCGTCGATGGCGTCGTGCGCGGCGACGGCGCGTGGGGCGCGAGCCTCGACACGCCCGACGCCGAGGCAGCAGACGGGTCCGACTCGGACGACGAGGTGCTGTACGGCGATGCCGATTTCGAGTAGCTGCGGGCCGGGCAGCTGGGGCCGGGGGGGAGCCGTCAGCGCCAGAGCCGCCGCCGAGCGGCACCGCGCCGCCGCCCGGCTCCTCCGAGACTTTGGACGTGGGCGGCTGGCAGGTCGTAATGACCGACGGGCACGCGGTGCTGCCCGAAGGCATGACGCACCTGCCGGACCGGGCGTTCCGCAACCGAACCTCTCTCGTCTCGGTCGCCTTCCCGCGCAGCCTTGCCTCGATCGGCAGCGGCGCCTTCGAACGCTGCTCCTCCCTCTCCACCATCGACCTCCCTGCCAGCCTCGTCGCCATCAACAACTACGCCTTCCGCGGCTGCTCCGCCCTCTCCTCCGTCACCCTCCCCGCCGGCCTCACCTCCATCGACGGCGCCTTCTATGGCTGCTCTTCCCTCGCCCGCATCACCCTACCCGCCGGCCTCACCTCCATCGGCGACGACGCCTTTCGCGGCTGCGCCTCGCTCGCCTCCGTCACCGTGCCAACCACCGCCACTGTCGGCTACGAGGCTTTCGAACCTGAGACCTCCGCCTCCCGCCCGGACGGCGCGGCGCGCCAGCGTGACCGCGACGAGTTCGAGGGCGACCTTGCGCTGGCGACTGCTCGCGGTTCAGACTGACATCAGGCGTGACTGAAATTGCTGCGGCTGGCTCCTCTAAGCTCTATCTAGTGCCTGTGTGAGAGAGTCTCATCAGAGACGCATCGGCCGACGCGTTGGGCAACGTGTGTCCCGCTTCTGGCTTCGTGTTGTGCACGTGTCATGTGCTAGTTGCTAGAGGTAGAGCTGCCCAAGTGAGGGGCGGTGGTCCCTGGCTGCGGGGTGTGCTCGTGGTCGTGCGAGGTGGCGCCCCACACGCACCACAGTCCACACGCTACCCCAAAGGCAACGAATAACTCCATCTCGCCGATCTTACCGCGACACATACTGACGTACGTTTGCGGTATAATTGGGTACGTATGTCTGTCTGGGGACTCTGGACGACTCTCTGCCAAGATGGAGTGCAGTGAGACCCCCCCCCTCCCCCCACACCCACCATGCCCACAAACCCCATCTCCAGCGCAACTCTCCAGCGCCGGGAGTCGGAGATCAGAGGGTCTGCACCGGACGGCGTCTCTAGTAGTACGCGGTGGTGGTGGGCATGCCGCCGCCCCCGCCGCCGAACCGCGGCTGGTATGTCATCGCTGTCCCTCCGCCGCTGAAGGCGTCGCTGCGCACTCCGCCGTAGCCGCCGCCGCCGCGCGCCTCGAACTCGTCGCCGCCGCCACAGACGAAGCAGCACGCCTGCTCGCGGCCAGCAGCGGCTGTGAGCGGCGCAAGGCCGACCAACCACCCCCCGCCCTCCCCCCAGCCACATCTCGACTCTGCACCTCTTGCTCTGCACCTCTTACTCTGCACCTCTTGCTCTGCACCTCCGGCTGCATCTCTGCTCTGCACCTCTTGCTCTGCACCTCCGGCTGCATCTCTGCTCTGCACCTCTTGCTCTGCACCTCCGGCTGCATCTCTGCTCTGCACCTCTTGCTCTGCATCTCCGCTCTGCATCTCTGCTCCGCATCTCTTGCGTCCTCTCGCGGCGGGGAGGCGCGCCAGCAGCGCCAGGCCGACCAGCGCCCAGCCGAGGGTGCTGATCCAGCTCGTCTTTCCGCCGCCCGCCTACGAGGCCAGACTCGGCGGCACTCAGAGTGTGTATGGGCCGGGCGAGCCACGCGCGGCGGCCTCGGCCGGCGCCTCGGTTGCGGCGGGGGCGAAGGAGACGTAGATGGAGGGGGCGGAGTCGAAGGAGGCCGTCTTCGCGTCTGCTGCGAAGAGGGTGGCGTTGTACACCACGAGCCGGAGGGGCCACGCCGAGCTCGCCTGCTGCAGCGCCCGCCGCCCGCCCTTCGGAGCCGCGGGCGCCTGGAAGGTGAGGGTGAGGTCGTACCGGTCCTGGGCCGCATCCACCTTGACGGTCTCGGAGCGAGGGACGGCGGCGGCGTTCGGGCCGTGGCTCGGACCGCTGACGCCGCCGTACGCGTAGTTGTGGGAGTAGTGGTGGTGGTGCGAGTGGGAGATGAGGGAGAGCGTCATGCCTATAGTCGTACGTCCCCTACCCTACCCCCACGGTACCGAACCCTCGAGATGAGGGAGAGCGGCATGCCCATCATCATCGCGTGCGAGAAGGCGTTGTAGTGATAGACCTGCGGGCGAGGGGAGGCGGGGGAGAGGGGTGTCTGGCCGAGGTGTGCACGGGCGAGATCTGGCCGAAGTACGCAGGCGGGAGATGCTCGGGAGATGTTCGGGAGATAGCCGAGAGAGTGGCAGACTAGCAAGAGGGGGCGGGCGGGGCGTCCAGCTGGCTGGAGAGTGCGTGGCAGAATATGGGGAGATATGGGGGAGATATGGGGGAGATGTGGGGGAGATGTGGGGAGGTGTGGGGAGGTGTGGGGAGGTGTGGGGAGATGTGGGGAGATGTGGGGAGATGTGGGGGAGATGTGGGGAGATGTGGGGAGATGTGTTTGGTCACCGGCCCGCCGACGTAGAAGGGCATGCCGCCGTAGTAGTAGAAGTGGGTGGGCGAGTAGTAGTAGGGCGAGGCGACGCCGTACGAGTAGACTGGCGTGCGGCCTGCGGGGAGGGGTCAGGGACGTCTCAGGGACGTGGCATGGAGGTGTCATGGAGGTGTCATGCGCCCGGCGA